TCAAAATTCACACCAACAAATCAATATTGATTCATTGATGCTGCTGTTGTTCCCATGTTGATAGAATATTGACTAATTACATAACTAGAACATAAAAGGGCAAAGCATCTGAGGCAAGCTGTGTTTTGAATAGTGAATATAGTTTCTTTCACAGATGCCGTATTAACTATCAAGTCTTAGGCAGTGGGTCAGTGTTGACCTTTCTGTCACCTAACTTGAAAATAATCAGTCATCATTACTTTAACATGAAGGTCACTCATTTCAAGGTCAGAATAGGTTGCAGTTCCTCATTCTTTAAAATTGTAGAACTCCAGCAGGACTTCATCTGGACCTCCTCAGTGGCAAATATTCGACCCTCATGTCTGAGCAAATGTTGGCAATGACCCAGATTGGAATTTATAGTTTCTTTATTCATGTTCAAAGGGTTATAGCTGATGTTGTGGCTTTTTGGAGGTGACTTGTATTCACTGATACAGTGATCGCTCGCTATTGCGCTCTTCGATAAAGCGCTACTTCGGTTATTACGCGCGGTAACGCATGGCTCCCAAAATTTATGTACACTTTTAATACTGAGAGTTTTACACAGACATGATTGTATTGTTGTTCGTTGTTTATTTGCACATAACGCTTCTCATTGCATAATCAACGGTTTATCGCTGAATGGAGTTCTAATAATCTGTTTGAAAATATCCGCGGCAAGTCCCGGAAATACGATTGTTCAACTAGTTAACTTTTCACACTTTCCATCCTTTGATCTTAGAAGCGCATGCATGCAATAAAAGAGAACCACAAGTGAAGTTTATATTCTTAATTAGTGGGCAATCCAATTTAAGGCTAAACTGTCACACAAATGTAGTTGCTGTCACAACACGGCGGTCATTCATTTCGTAATCGCGCTTTCGTAACATCGCCTGTTTTTTCCCCGTAGTTATAACAAGCGATTTCATTGGATTAAAATTTGTTTCTAATGACGCTTTCTTGCCGAAATCTGCTACAAGTTTCGAGATTGGTCAATTTTGAGCACGTGACCTCAGGCAGCCAATCAAGCTTTGATACAAAGCTCGTGTTTGATAAATTTCAGAAGTTAGCGAAAGATTTTTTGTTAAATCGTGTTATTCTGAACGTTTTAAGCAGGAAATCAGGATATATATTAAAAATATGGAACTTCGCGAATGTATCGTGCTAGGTTACGAGCTGTGACAAAGATTTTTCATGCATATATTTTTGCATTAAACGTTGTGTCCGAGCCGAGAATTCAAGGCGACGAAAGCCGAGATGTCATTTGACTTACATTACACGCGATCGCACGAAACGATGGAAATAATAACTTAGATGTAAGTTTGATTACTTTTAGATATATTTTTGTTGATTTTATTTATCACTTTGTATAATATATTTAAAGATTTGCTTAAAATAGTCTTTTATTTTGCTCTTTGACATGTTCGATGCGGACCCGTTGTCGAAATGTGTGTCCGAGAATTTTATTTTCAATAACATCGCGGGAAATAGTGAATAATTTTTTAATTTATTGATAAAAAATGATAAATTAGAATGGAATACGTATTTCAGACATTGTGAAATATGACAGATTTAATAAATGAATGATATTACAGGTAGATCTAGGTCCATAAAAATATATACTATTTTGACGTGACGTAAGATAAACACATAAGCCTATTGATGATTTGAGATTTGCCGAGCGCGCTCCCCCGCCTCGGCCTCGGTTAAACGGCTCATCGTCTATAACGCCCACCAATTATTTGGACCCCATTGGTAGCGCAATAGCGAGCGATCACTGTAACAGGACCAATGAAGAGAGAGACTTGATGTGCTTTGTTTAACATTATTTTCATTCAATGCAGTGTTGTTTAAATTCAATGTTAAAATACCTCTGAATTTAGGAATATAAGATTATTTTTTTAACATGGGGATTTTTCCCATTTACCTTTCAAAGGGCACTTTGTTTGGAGTCCTGGGTAAGTCTATGAAATGAAAAAATGAATAAAAAAATAAACAAATAAACAATTGTGCATCTGAGGCAAGCTGTGTTTTGAAAAGTGAACATAGTTTTTTCACCAGATGCCATATTAAAAATCAAGTCTTAGGCAGTGGGTCAGTGTTGACATTTCTGTCACCTAACTTGATGACATCTTTAGACATTAGATTCAATTTGTATTAAGATTCAATTTGTATTAATATCTTCAGCCACAGGCAAATGAATGATGATCTTGAAATAAGTACTCAATGTGTTTCCCAAACTGCTGATTTTTAGATTTTGAACTTGAATATTGTGTGGGGGTAAGTGATCGCTCGCTATTGCGCTCTTCGATAAAGCGCTACTTCGGTTATTACGCGCGGTAACGCATGGCTCCCAAAATTTATGTACACTTTTAATACTGAGAGTTTTACACAGACATGATTGTATTGTTGTTCGTTGTTTATTTGCACATAACGCTTCTCATTGCATAATCAACGGTTTATCGCTGAATGGAGTTCTAATAATCTGTTTGAAAACATCCGCAGCAGGTCCCGGAAATACGATTGTTCTACTAGTTAACTTTTCACACTATACATCCTTTGATCTTAGAAGCGCATGCATGCAATAAAAGAGAACCACAAGCGAAGTTTATATTCTTAATTAGTGGGCAATCCAATTTAAGGCTAAACTGTCACACACATGTAGTTGCTGTCACAACACGGCGGTCATTCATTTCGTAATCGCGCTTTCGTAACATCGCCTGTTTTTTTTCCCGTAGTTATAACAAGCGATTTCATTGGATTAAAATTTGTTTCTAATGACGCTTTCTTGCCGAAATCTGCTACAAGTTTCGTGATTGGTCAATTTTGAGCACGTGACCTCAGGCAGCCAATCAAGCTGTGATACCAAGCTCGTGTTTGATAAATTTCAGAAGTTAGCGAAAGATTTTTTGTTAAATCGTGTTATTCTGAACGTTTTAAGCAGGAAATCAGGATATATATTAAAAATATGGAACTTCGCGAATGTATCGTGCTAGGTTACGAGCTGTGACAAAGATTTTTCATGCATATATTTTTGCATTAAACGTTGTGTCCGAGCCGAGAATTCAAGGCGACGAAAGCCGAGATGTCATTTGACTTACATTACACGCGATCGCACGAAACGATGGAAATAATAACTTAGATGTAAGTTTGATTACTTTTAGATATATTTTTGTTGATTTTATTTATCACTTTGTATAATATATTTAAAGATTTGCTTAAAATAGTCTTTATTTTGCTCTTTGACATGTTCGATGCGGACCCGTTGTCGAAATGTGTGTCCGAGAATTTTATTTTCAATAACATCGCTGGAAATAGTGAATAATTTTTTAATTTATTGATAAAAAATGATAAATTAGAATGGAATACGTATTTCAGACATTGTGAAATATGACAGATTTAATAAATGAATGATATTACAGGTAGATCTAGGTCCATAAAAATATATACTATTTTGACGTGACGTGAGATAAACACATAGGCCTATTGATGATTTGAGATTTGCCGAGCGCGCTCCCCCGCCTCGGCCTCGGTTAAACGGCTCATCGTCTATAACGCCCACCAATTATTTGGACCCCATTGGTAGCGCAATAGCGAGCGATCACTGTAATGTAATGAGGCTGTAATGATTTTATTGATGTCTGTTTCAATAGTTGCAGTTCATCTTGTCCAATGTAATACGAGGGATGGAACATTGCTGACGCTGTACAACAACTTTATTTCTCACTCTTGCCTAAGTCGGCTTTCCTGCTGTCAAAATTCACTCCAACAAATCAATTTTGACTCCTTGATACTGCTGTTTTTCCCATGTTGATAGAATATTGACTAATGACATAACTAGAACATAAAAGGCCAAAGCATCTGAGGCAAGCTGTGTTTTGAATAGTGAATATAGTTTCTTTCACAGATGCTATAATACCAATCAAGTCTTAGGCAGTGGGTCAGTGTTGACATTTCTGTCACCTAACTTGATGACATCTGTATATTGTTCATTGATATTTTCAACTGCAGGCAGATGAACAGGTTTATCAAATACCACCTATGCAGAGGTGGCATAATGAAAATATACTTTCTGGTAATGCACTCGAGCTCGGTAAAGGTGTAAGAATCTACATCAAAACGTTTCTTGATGCAATAAAGCCGAAGTTGTTATCCATAAAGTTGTGTGTTTTCTTATTTGGTCACCAAATCATAGAAATGCGAATCAAAAGATGGCACAGGTTTCCATTACTTCTTGGGGGCCTGGGTGGCCCAGTCGTCTAAGGCGCTGCGATTCGCTGTGCAGAGTTATCTCATGGGCACGCCAGACACCTATGATTGTGGGTTCAAATCCAAATTCGCCCCGATTATGTTTCTAGGTTTGTCAGCACCATACCCGTGCTCGTGGGTTTCACCGAAGTGGTAAACGTCTGAGACCTGCATCACTTCGGTCTATCCTCCCTGTTAAGCTGACACGCCGTGATATAACTGGAATACTGTTAAAAGCGGCGTTAACACAACTCTCACTCACTCACTCACTCACTCTCTCACTCACTCACTTTCTCACTCTCTCACTCACTCACTCACTCACTCACTCACTCATGTGCCACAACTGACTGTCCCTTTGGCACCCCAGAAACCTTTTATCGTGTGTTCGAATTCTGGTTCACCCCAACAATGTTTCTAGGTTTGTCATCCGTGCTCATGGGCTGAGACCTGATACAACTGAAATAATTGTTATTAGAGTGATATGATTATGAACTCGAGAAAATATGGTTGAACTCTTGATTACACATCTGAGTTTTGAATAGTGAATATAGTTGTTTTTATTTTTTTATGACGTTTTTTTGTCGCACCCTGATTTATATGGCTCACAATATCTATCACTGGATTGCCTGGTCCATACTTGATTATTTAACTGGCCGTGGTCCTATAGATAGACTATTACTGAGTAAACAACAAAGAAACAAAACGAATCTTGACAGTTGTTTTATCTGTTTCAGATACAAAATAATAAATGTGTAGCCTCGCAACTAACTACCGACTACAAGGGCTCGGATTTCACATCATCGCTGACGTTAGGGAATATTGATCCACTAAATGAATCAGGTGAGTGACCTTGTGGTGTTTCTGGGTTAGACAAGGTACAAGGTCGTACAAGGTCGTACAAGGTCGTACAAGGTGACATGCTTTGCTCATAATGTAAGTCACCGATTTGTCTGGGCAGAATTCTTTGTGTACAGGCCGCCATCAGGTAGCTGGAAATATTGTTGGGTTGGGTATTAAGAGCTGCCATCAATACAGATTATAGACTAATTGATCAATTATCGATAAATATCAGAGCAAATACGCAAAAAGAAATCCTAAAGAAATCATGTGGTGCACATTTATTCAGGGATTACTTTGTGGACATTTAAGATATAACAAAAACAGTTACTTTCCATCTGCAGCAATTAACATTATTGACAATAACAAGTCTGTTTTGGTAAACAAATGGTAAATCTAAACTTTATTTCATCACAATAGTTTATGTAAGGTATTATCGATGACACAATTTTCATATCGACAAATGTTAATATTTCTTCCAATCAATGATAATTCTGATAATCCAACTTTTTAGCGGCATTAATCATCAAATGGACATATCTTACATCAAGTATTTCCCAAAAGTTTTCTATTTGTATGACAGTTCTATTTCCAAATAACAATCACCTTGCAGGTTTTCTTGGGCTTGTTGAGCTAAATAAAATGGGTGTCATGCTATAACAATTACACTTATGTGACCTGGCTGATTGTTTGTAATTGTACCCTTAGGGTTATACAGTAACAGATCAACGACAATAAACAGATAAACAATAATAAACATTAATAAACATATAGACGATAATAAATAGATCAACAATAATAAACAGATCAACGATAATAAACAGATAAACAATAATATGCAGATAACCATAATAAACAAATAAACAATAATAAACAGATAAATAGAACGTGAACAGGCCAAAGCATCTGAGGCAAGCTGTGTTTTGAATAGTGAATATAGTTTTTTCACCAGATGCCATATTAAAAATCAAGTCTTAGGCAGTGGGTCAGTGTTGACATTTCTGTCACCTAACGTGATGACATTGAACATTTCGAAACATTTACTCAATATTTACAATGATGCAAATACATTCAGCTTTGCTCATTTCATTTTGAGTTGCTTGTGAAAAGATTTGAGAACCCAATTGCAGGAATAGTAATACAGCAGTGAAATTACTGCATTACTGGTACACCATTCAAACTATACCTATTGACGTATCGTTTTCTGTGTTCTGGTGTTAGAATTTGCCTGAAACAGCAGAATTATTACCTGATTACCTAGAATTACCTTACCGCCTCCGTGGTCTAGTGGTAGAGTGTTCGCCCGGAGAGCGGAAGGTCCAGGGTTCGATCCACGTCCGCGTCATACCAAAAGACGTTTAAAAATGGTACTTGTTGTTACCCTGCGTGGCGCTCGGCATTAAGGGCTAAAACAAGGACTAGTCGGTTCGGAGTCAGTATACTGTGTCCGAGTGGGGTATTCGTGTTAAACTACACACACACACACACACACACACACACACACACACACACACACACACACACACACACACACACACAAAATTTCACCTCCTCACCTCACCTCACCTCACCTCACCTCACCTCACCTCACCTCACCTCACCTCACCTCACCTCACCTCACCTCACCTACACTTACACTTATGTGACCTGTCTGATTGTTTGTAATTGTACCCTTAGGGCTAACACAGTAACAGATCGACAATAATAAACAGATCAACAATAATAAACAAACCATAATAAACAGATTAACGTTAATAAACAGATAAACAATAATATACAGATAAACAAAATGATAAACAGATAAACCATAATAAATATAAACCATAATAAACCTAAACATAAACCATAATAAACATAATCCATAATAAACATAAACCATAATAAACAGATAAACAATAAAAAACAGATAAATAGAACGTGAACAGTTCATAGCATCTGAGGCAAGCTGTGTTTTGAATAGTGAATATAGTTTTTTCACCAGATGCCATATTAAAAATCAAGTCTTAGGCAGTGGGTCAGTGTTGACATTTCTGTCACCTAACTTGATGACATTGAACATTTCGAAACATTTACTCAATATTTACAATGATGCAAATACATTCAGCTTTGCTCATTTCATTTTGAGTTGCTTGTGAAAAGATTTGAGAACCCAATTGCAGGAATAGTAATACAGCAGTGAAATTACTGCATTACTGGTACACCAGTATGCTGCTGTACGCTTTTCAAACAATACCTATTGACATATCGTTTTCTGTCTTCTGGTGTTAGAATTTGCCTGAAACAGCAGAATTATTACCTGATTACCTAGAATTACCTGACCGCCTCTGTGGTCTGGTGGTAGAGTGTCCGCCCGGAGAGCGGAAGGTCCGGGGTTCGATCCACGTCCGCGTCATACCAAAAGACGTTAAAAAATGGTACTTGTTGTTACCCTGTCAATATACTGTGTCTGAGTGGGGTATTCATGTTAAACTGCAACATGGTATCTCAGTGAGCTAGCACTATAAATCGGCATCAGTCCGGACTAGTACAAGCAGACACACATACACACGTGCATGCACGTTGCTATATAAGTGCAATAATCTTGGACGCGACGTTAAACCCAATTTCACCTCATCACCTCATCTAAAGTTACCTGGACTGGAAGTAAAATGTGTTATATTCTCAAGACTATTCCTATTCAATGTAAATGAGTTCATGTGAGTAAATAGCCAATGGTTGAGAAATGGAGTACTGGGCCCCAATCGACAAAACATTCATAGCGCAACCACATTCATAAGTCTATGATAAACTATAGAGTTACGATAGGTAGTTTTGTTAGGGCTGCCATCTTGTCTAAAACTGGAGCCAATCAACCCTCAGACCAAGAAATTGTCACACCTACAGCATCATGCATCATGAACAAAGTGTGTTTGACTGATTTGAATACAGACTGTTTGTTGATGCTAGAGGAAGACGTCAAGCCTAATTCAGCCAGTCATCGTTGATTGCCTGTTTCGCTCTTGACGACATTGATGAATCTGAATGAAACAGCATGTGGTTTTAGATAGGACAAATAATCAGGGATGCAAGATTTAGCCCAATCATTTTGTGGAATGTTGAGGAATGGGATGTCTTATGTGTTGTTGTTTTTGTTGTATGGATTAGTAAACGTTTCAGGTTAAGTGGCATCCCAGACAATAGGGTTAGACTTAACAACAAATTTTTCTGTTGCCAGCAGGGCTTGCTCCTTTCATAAGTTGCTGGCCCTTCTCCAAGCTGACTGGCCTATAACTATAGGGTGGAGGCCGCAAAGTGGCCGAACCTGAAGTCGTGTAGCCACCTAGTAGGGCTCTGAAAGTTTGAGAACTCATCTCTGAGAGTTTTTTTCTGGCACTCTGAGATTAAATCTTGACTTCCATTTGCCTCAATTCATGGTGATTTATGAGCAAATTAAGATGTTGTTGTACCCAACATTACAAAATGGCGACCAGCTGTCATTCTACCAAGATGGTCCAATTAAAAAATCAAACATACGCGGAGAAGGGGTGAAATTTGGACTAGCCAGACGGAGCATCTACTTTACGTTTCAGCAAGCCTTTTGTAATTTTAACTTGCCACGGGCCAATGGGCCAGCAGTTAAATTGACCCCTAAGATAATACTTGATGACGCAACAGCATTTCGTTGTTGACTTGCTGATCCTATTAGATTCAGGGCCCTGTTTTCAAGGTAGGAGACATTTACTCTTCCCGACACTTGCTGTATTTGCTGCAATAAGTGTCCTGCTTCAGTAGGTGCCCCTGACTAACTTTAAGACGAAACTGTTTTGGGCTTCCATCTTGTTCAAAACTATGAACCCTGAGACGAGGTAATTATCACTGCAGCATCAGGAACAAACTGGGTTTGACTGATTTGAATACAGACTGTTTGTCGATGCTAGAGGAAGACGTCAAGCCTAATTCAGCCAGTCATCGTTGATTGCCTGTTTCGCTCTTGACGACATTGATGAATCTGAATGAAACAGCATGTTGCTTTAAATAGGACAAATAATCAGGGATGCAAGATTTAGCCCAATCATTTTGTGGAATGTTGAGGAATGGGGTATCTTATGTGTTGTTGTTTTTGTTGTATGGATTAGTAAACGTTTCAGGTTAAGTGGCATCCCAGATAATAGGGTTAGACTTAACAACAAATTTGTCTGTTGCCAGCAGTGCTTGCTCCTTTCATAAGTTGCTGGCCCTTCTCCAAACTGTTTGGCCTATAACTATAGGATGGAGGCCGCAAAGTGGCCGAACCTGAAGTCATGTAGCCACCTAGCAGGGCTCTGAAAGTTTGAGAACTCATCTCTGAGAGTTTTTTTCTGGCACTCTGAGATTAAATCTTGACTTCCATTTGCCTCAATTCATGGTGATTTATGAGCAAATTAGGACGTTGTTGTACCCAACATTACAAAATGGCGACCAGCTGTCATTCTACCGAGATGATCCAATTAAAAAATCAAACATACACGGAGAAGGGGGGAAATTTTGACTAGCCAGACGGAGCATCTACTTTACGTTTCAGCAAGCCTTTTGTAATTTTAACTTGCCACGGGCCAATGGGCCAGCAGTTAAATTGACCCCTAAGATAATACTTGATGACGCAACAGCATTTTGTTGTTGACTTACTGATCCTATAAGATTCAGGGCCCTGTTTTCAAGGTAGAAGATTTTCTTAAACGGACACTTACTGTATTTGCTGCAATAAGCGTCCTGCTTCAGTAGGTGCCCCTGACTAACTTTAAGACGAAACTGTTTTGGGCTTCCATCTTGTTCAAAACTATGAACCCTGAGACGAGGTAATTATCACTGCAGCATCAGGAACAAACTGGGTTTGACTGATTTGAATACAGACTGTTTGTCGATGCTAGAGGAAGACGTCAAGCCTAATTCAGCCAGTCATCGTTGATTGCCTGTTTCGCTCTTGACGACATTGATGAATCCGAATGAAACAGCATGTAGTTTTAAATAGGACAAATAATCAGGGATGCAAGATTTAGCCCAATCATTTTGGGGAATGTTAAGGAATTTTCTGACATAGGCCCTTTATGTGAAAATTTGCCCATAGTTTGCCTCACTTGCCCAGACATCACAATGTTAAAAGGACCAATTGTATTTAGAAACATCATTCTCTACCCCTGAAGATCCAGGTTAGAATAGGTCTTCAGCAACCCATGCTTGTCCCCTATGAAGATCCAGGTTTGAATTGGTCTTCAGCAACCCATGCTTGTCCCCCATGAACATCCAGGTTTGAATTGGTCTTCAGCAACCCATGCTTGTCCCCCATGAAGATCCAGGTTAGAATTGGTCTTCAGCAACCCATGCTTGTCCCCCATGAACATCCAGGTTAGAATTGGTCTTCAGCAACCCATGCTTGTCCCCTATGAAGATCCAGGTTTGAATTGGTCTTCAGCAACCCATGCTTGTCCCCCATGAAGATCCAGGTTAGAATTGGTCTTCAGCAACCCATGCTTGTCCCCCATGAAGATCCAGGTTAGAATTGGTCTTCAGCAACCCATGCTTGTCCCCCATGAAGATCCAGGTTAGAATTGGTCTTCAGCAACCCATGCTTGTCCCCTATGAAGATCCAGGTTAGAATAGGTCTTCAGCAACCCATGCTTGTCCCCCATGAATATCCAGGTTAGAATTGGTCTTCAGCAACCCATGCTTGTCCCCCATGAATATCCAGGTTAGAATTGGTCTTCAACAACCTATACTTGTCATAAGAGGTAACCAACGGTATCTGGTGGTCAGGCTTGCTGACTTGGTTGATGCATGTCATCACATCACAGTGGCATAGATTGATGCTCGTGACGTCCATTACTTGATTGTCTGGTCCAGATTCGATTCTTTACTGACTGCAGTCATGAAGCTGGAATATTGCCAAGTCATAAAGTGTGGCATTAAACAACGAACAGACAAAAGCAACACATCACTTCAGTAGATTTTCTTGTTATTGTGTGAGAACTGAGATGTACTTATTCACTTTATGCATATGTTTCATTCAGGGCACGGGTGGCCCAGTTGTCCAAGACGCTGCAATTCGCTGTGCAGAGTCGTGTCCCTTGGGCACGCCAGAAACCTATGATTGTGGGTTCGAATCCTGGTTCGCCCCGATTATGTTTCTAGGTTTGTCAGCACCATACCTGTGCTCATGGGTTTCACCGAAGTGGTTAACATCGGAGACCTGCATCACTTCAGGCTTTCCTCCCACATTAAGCTGACACGCTGCAATATAACTGGAAAACTGTTAAAAGCGGCGTTAAACCGACCTCAATCACTCACTCACTGACCGCCTCCTTGGTCTTGTGGTAGAGTGTCCGCCCGGAGAGCAGAAGGTTCGAGGTTCGATCCCCAGCCGCGTCATACCAAAAGATGTTAAAAGATGGTACTTGTTGTTACTCTGTCTGGCGCTCGGCATTAAGGGGCTAAAACAAGGACTGGTCGGCACGGAGTCGGTATACTGTGTCTGAGTGGGGTATTCATGTTAAACTGCGGAAGGGTATCTCAGTGGGCTAGCACTATAAATCGGCATCAGTCCGGACTAGTACAAGCAGCAACACACGCGTGCATGCACGTTGCTATATAAGTGCAATAATCTTGAACGCAAGGTTAAACTCCATTTCACCTCACCACTCACTCACTCACTCTTGATAAATCTATGGAACAAGAACATAAAAAGGCCAAAGCATCTGAGGCAAGCTGTGTTTTGAATAGTGAGCATAGTTTCTTTCACAGATGCAATATTAACTGTCAAGTCTTAGGCAGTGGGTCAGTGTTGACATTTCTGTCACCTAACTTGATGACATCTTTACATTCAATCTGTATTAATGTTTTCAGCCACAGGCAAATGAATGATTATTTTAAGATATAAAATATAATGTATGAAATATGGATTGGGATATCACTTAGTCATATTAATACAAGAGCTGAAAGTGTTTCCCAAACTGCAGACTTTAAATGATAGAACTTAGATATTGTGTGGTGGTAATGTAATGAGGCTGTAGTGATTTTATTGATGTCTGTGCCAATAGTTGCAGTTCATCTTGTCCAATGTCATACAAAGGATGGAACATTGCTGACGCTGTACAACAACTTTATTTGTCATTCTTGCCTAAGTCGGCTTTCCTGCTGTCAAAATTCACTATCAACAAATTAATATTGATTCCTTGATACTGCTGTTGTTCCCATGTTGATAGAATATTGACTAATTACATAACTAGAACATAAAAAGGCCAAAGCATCTGAGGCAAGCTGTGTTTTGAAAAGTGAATATAGTTTCTTTCACAGATGCAATATTAACTATCAAGTCTTAGGCAGTGGGTCAGTGTTGACATTTCTGTCACCTAACTTGATGACATCTTTAGATTGTATTAATATTTTCAACTGCAGGCAGATGAACAGGATTATCAAATACCGCTTATGCAGGGGTGGCATAATAAAAATATACAACATGTAAGAACATAAAAAGGACAAAGCATCTGAGGCAAGCTGTGTTTTGAAAATGTGCATGTTTATTATATGCCAAATCAATACCCTAATACGCTCAAAGCACTACATTTTTACCCCGGTCTGTGCACTTGATTATCAGCTCCATGGGGAGTTTGAAGATGTATCAAAAAGTTCTTGCTGTTTCAAAGTGCACACCATCTTCCCGAGGCAAGAGAGTTAGGCTGGAATTCCTGGGCTCGATCGTAGCGCCACCAGTTGCTATTACGAGTTATTTCCTTTCTATGCCTCTCCTATTGACCAATCAGATTCAAGCTCTCGTATCACTTGCATTTGCTTTAAACAAAACGGTGGTGCCAAGTCAAGACGATCTGATCGATAATCAAGATCTATATTGTGATAAAACGAGTCTTACATCGCGAAGTGCATCAAATCACATGAGCACCTTGATTAAAAACATGAAAAGATATAGAAAATATCTGTTGACGAGTTAGCGGTGCACATGCTTTGCAAATCCTGCAGTCGACCGAAATCTTCATGACACTTTACTAACTGGATTTTGATTTCGGTGTGCGATTTTGATTGGACTATGCATAGACTCGTTAGTCCAGCCAAAATGTAACTCCATAATACCAGCCTAGTTCGGCAAGGATGGAAACTGGACTTTTATACTCAGTAACCGTATTCTACGTAATAAGCGCCCAGGGCGCTCTCAAAATTAGAAAGTGGGGGCTCTTACTAGAATATTATTTTGGAGAAAAAGTTGAAAGCTAAATTTCGTGGTTTATGCTGACAGCCTGAAATTTTATGTACCACAGATATATTTTTCCAGAATTTAATTGCCCATAATTAAGGGTGCATATAACACACGAGTGCATAGTATTCACAAATAAATCAGTCTTGTGCACATTGATCAAAGGTGTGCTAATTGGGATTGTTCACTAGCAAATATATTAGCAAATATCGCCGTGGGCGCTTATTAGAGCAGGGCGCTTATTACGTCGAATATGGTAACTCACTTGCCTCGGGAAGATGAGTGCACACCTAACCATCTTCATGAGTGCTGCCTTGATACAGCTGGAGTATTGCTGACGGCTGCATTAAATAACACTTAAAGATCTTATATGGACATTTCCATGTTGATTAAGCTGATGTGAATGTTGTTTGTTTCAGGGATCTGTGTTGGTCAGTACCTACAGAGGGTGAGCTCAAGGTTGGACCTGGGTGCTGAGCTTCTCTACCAATACGGCCAGCAGGTTCCTGGAAGGGAGATCTCCATATTGTCACTGGCAGCCAGACTTACGGGTAAATTGCAAATCAATTGAAGAATCGTCATTGCTTTTGAAAGCGGCGTGATGTACCCCGACATCATGGGATGTTGCTCATGACATCGATCACTGGTTTGTGATAGCCTTCTAGGATGTAGCTGGAATACGGTTGTGGTTGAAATTTGAATATGATGGCTAGGTTTTTATGGGCTTTCATAGCTTGTTCATAATGAGTGTTAAAGCAAGCTCCCTTGTTTTTTCCATGAACACAAGAAAATGTGTTTAGTTCTTTTCGATTGCATCTGAGGCAAGCTTTATTTAGAAAATGAATAAAGTTTTTTTCACCAGGTGCAACATTAACTATCAAGTCTTAGGCAGTGGGTCATTGTTGACACTACAGTCACCTAACTTGAAGACATCTTTAGACGTTAGATTCAATTCTGTGTTGAATATGTTTTGGAGAAAATAAAACACACTTCCGAGGCAACTCCATGGATCTGGTGGTCAGGTGACTTGGTTAGAGAGTATTGGTTAGTGTTGGTTAGAGAGTGTTGGTTAGTGTTGGTTAGAGTTGGTTAGAGAGTATTGGTTAGAGAGTATTGGTTAGTGTTGGTTAGAGAGTATTGGTTAGAGAGTATTGGTTAGAGAGTATTGGTTAGAGAGTGTTGGTTAGTGTTGGTTAGAGAGTATTGGTTGATTAATCAATGTTGTAGAGTATTGGTTGATGAATCAATGTTGTAGAGTATTGGTTAATTAATCATGGTTTGTAGAGTATTGGTTGATTAATCAAGATTGTAGAGTATTGGTTGGTTAATCAAGGCTGTAGAGTATTGGTTGGTTAATCAAGGTTGTAGAGTATTGGTTGGTTAATCATGGTTGTAGAGTATTGGTTGATTAATCATGGTTGCAGAGTATTGGTTGATTAATCATGGTTGTAGAGTATAGGTTGGTTAAGAATATTCAGAGTACGCATTTTTTAATCTGATGTGTTTTGAAATGATGGAAAGTCTATCAAATCCTGCACATGATCGACCACCTATTCTACCATTTCCCCAAGTTGAAGTCAGGGGGCATTGCTCCTGATATCAATCACTGGATTGTCTGGTCCAGACTTGATTATTTACAGGCTGTCGTCATATAGCTGAAATATCCTGAGTGTTGTAAACATCAAAGTAGTTGCTAATATAGTTGTTTTCAACCGTTTGCAGACTACTATTGAGGCTATCCATCTTATAAATACCTTTAGAGCATAATCAGCTTAAATGTTACTACAAGTGTTGTAGGGTTCATGACGTGCACACAAGAAATATGTGAATTCTTTACCATGTATGCATCTGAGGCAAGCTGTGTTTTGAAAAGTGAATATAGTTTTTTTCACAGATGCTATATTAAGTGTCAAGTCTTAGGCAGTGGGTCACTGTTGACATTTCTGTCACCTAACTTGATGACACTTGAAGTATTGTTTGATGAATCATGTTTGAGAGTATTGGTTGGTTATTATTATTATGCTTTTCATGAGAGGCAACGCCATGGATTGGGTGGTCAGACTTGGTGACTCTGTTGATTGTGTGTCCTCGTACCCCGACATCATGGGATGTTGCTCATAGCATCAATCACTGGTTTGTGATAGCCTTCTGGGATACGGCTGAAATACTGATCAGTGATGTGGCTTAAACTAAGATTAATGGCTCAGTATTTATGAGCTTTCATAGCTTGTTCATTATCCCCTGCCCAACAAAGTTGGCTGGGGATATAGAAACGGGCTCCTTCAGTCTGTTCGTCCGTCCGTCCGTCCGTCACGTTTCGTTTCCAGGGCATAACTCAGAAACCGTTCAATATTTTTTAATGAAACTTTGCAGGTCTATCAAGTACATGCTGAACTGGTGCCTTTTGCTATTTTGAAATTTTAGAAATTTATATTTTTTACGTTTCCATGACAACAAGATGGACTTAGGTTCCAAACTCACCTTTTTTTTACACTTTCCATGACAAGTTCCACCTTGGTTAAAAAGGTTAGGGTTTGATTGGATTTAATTTTGTCATAAATTCTGCAACAGGGGCGGGGGATATAGCCACGTTAGTGGCAAACTCTTGTTGTTCATTGCAGTTTGCTTCAATTCATTATTTGACATTTCAACACAAGAAAATGTGTTAGATTCTGTTACATTGCATCTGAGGCAAGCTGTGTTTTGAATAGTGAACATAGCTTCTTTCACAGATGCGATATTAACTATCAAGTCTTAGGCAGTGGGTCAGTGTTGACATTTCTGTCACCTAACTTGATGACACTTGAGGTATTGTTTGTATTAGATTTTGAACTTAAGTATTGTGTGGGGGTAATGTAATGAGGCTGTAGTGATTTTATTGATGTCCGTTTCAATAGTTGCAGTTCATCTTGTCCAATGTCATACAAGGGATGGAACATTGCTGATGCTGTACAACAACTTTATTTGTCACTTTTGCCTAAGTCGGCTTTCCTGCTGTCAAAATTCACTCCAACAAATCAATATTGATTCCTTGATACTGCTGTTGTTCCCATGTTGATAGAATATTGACTAATTACATAACTAGAACATAAAAGGGCAAAGCATCTGAGGCAAGCTGTGTTTTGAATAGTGAATATAGTTTCTTTCACGGATGCCATATTAACTATCAAGTCTTAGGCAGTGGGTCAGTGTTGACCTTTCTGTCACCTAACTTGATAATAATCAGTCATCATTACTTTAACATGAAGGTCACTCATTTCAAGGTCAGAATAGGTTGCAGTACCTCATTCTTTAAAATTGTAGAACTCCAGCAGGACTTCATCTGGACCTCCTCAGTGGCCAATATTCGACCCTCATGTCTGAGCAAATGTTGGTAATGACCCAAATTGGAATTTATAGTTTCTTTATTCATGTTCAAAGGGTTATAGCTGATGTTGTGGCTTTTTGGAGGTGACTTGTATTCACTGATAACAGGACCAATGAAGAGAGAGACTTGATGTGCTTTGTTTAACATTATTTTCATTCAGTGCAGTGTTGTTTAAATTCAATGTTAAAATACCTCTGAATTTAGGAAAATAAGAAAGAAAAAAATTTAACATGGGGATTTTCACCATTTATCTTTCAAAGGGCGCTTTGTTTGTAATTCTTTGGAATGAAAAAATGAATAAAAAAACAAAACAATTGTGCATCTGAGGCAAGGTGTTTTTTGAAAAGTGAATATAGTTTCTTTCACAGATGCTATAATACCAATCAAGTCTTAGGCAGTGGGTCAGTGTTGACATTTCTGTCACCTAACTTGATGACATCTTCAGATTGTTCATTAATATTTTCAACTGCAGGCAGATGAACAGGATTATCAAATACCATTTATGCAGGGGTGGCATAATAGAAATATACAACATGTAAGAACATAAAATGGCCAAAGCATCTGAGGCAAGCTGTGTTTTGAAAAGTGAATATAGTTTCTTTCACAGATGCAATATTAACTATCAAGTCTTAGGCAGTGGGTCAGTGTTGACATTTCTGTCACCTAACTTGATGACATCTTCAGATTGTATTAATATTTTCACCTGTGAAGATTTGAGTTAGATTAGGCCTTTCGCATCTGATTCTTGTCGCAAGAGGCAACAAACGGGATCGGGTGGTCAGGCTAGCAGGCTTGGTTGTTCAGATTGATGCTCAAGTCAATCACTGGATTGTCTGGTCCAAACTTGATTATTTGCAGACCGCCATCATATGGCTTGAAATGAAATTTTGCTGAGTTCAGCGTTAAACAACAAACAAATAAAGAAATTAATATTTTCAACCACATGAAAATGAACAGGATTATTATAAGACCTGTAACTTAGATCAGAGTACCACTTGTTGACATATCTGTCACCTAACATAAATTACGGGATAAGCATAAAACGTGTAACATGGATCAGGATACCACAAGGCATAGGTTCATAGGCATACCGTATTCGACGTAATATGCGCCTGGGGCGCTCTCAAAATCAGAAATAGGGGGCTCTTATTAGAAATGATTTTGGTGAGAGGAAAAAACAGAGTTGAAAAATCGTAAACTTCGTGGTTTATGCTGACAGCCTGAAATGATACAAAAGAAAGGTATGTGTGTATTATACACGACAGATATATTTTCCAGAATTTGACTGCCCATAATTAAGGGTGCATATAACACTATAACACACGAGTGTGTATTATACATGAATAAATAAGTCTTGTGTACATTGATCAGTCAGAAGGGGTGCTAATTGGGATTGTTCAAAGGCCAATATATTAGAGAATATCGCCGTGGGCACTTATTGGAGCGGGGCGCTTATTACGTCGAATATGGTACTCCATAAAGGACGAGGTAGGATTTGGCAGTTCTCATCATAACTATGTCCACAGCAAGCATCTTTGTTTGTAGGGTCATTTGAAATATGTTTTCTTTCTTTTTTATATGCATCTGAGGCAAACTGTGTTTCGAATAGTGAATATAGTTTTTTTTCACGGATGCTATAATACCTATCAAGTCTTAGGCAGTGGGTCAGTGTTGACATTTCTGTCACCTAACTTGATGACATCTTCAGATTGTTCATTAATATTTTCAACTTCAGGCAGATGAACAGGATTATCAAATACCATTTATGAAGGGGTGGCATAATAGAAATATACAACATGTAAGAACATAAAATGGCCAAAGCATCTGAGGCAAGCTGTGTTTTGAATAGTGAATATAGTTTCTTTCACAGATGCAATATTAACTATCAAGTCTTAGGCAGTGGGTCAGTGTTGACATTTCTGTCACCTAACTTGATGACATCTTGAGTTTGTATAACCAGATTTATCACCTGATTATTATCCACTCTCCACCTCAATTCTTAAGGCGACTAACGGGATCAGGTGGTCAGGCTCGCTGACTTTGTTGATGCATGTCATCGATCCCAATTGCGTGGATCAATGCTCATGATATCAATCACTGTATTGTCTGGTCCAGACTCAATTATTTACAGACCGCCGTCATATAGCTGGAATATTGCTGAGTGCAGCGTCAAACAACAAACCAACCAACCAACCAAATCATTGCCTGTCAAAGTAGATCATTGCTCACGTTTTCAGCCACTGCCTGCTCGGGCCTTGATTATTTACTGTCTGCTAGTTCACGAGCCCCGTGAAGATCCGGGTTAGGAAAGGTCTTCAGCACCCATGCTTGCCGTATGAGGCGACGAACAGGATCGGGTGGTCATCGTATAACAAGAGCATAGATTGAAGCTCATGATATCCATCACTAGATTGTCTGGCCCAGATTTGATTATTTACAGACCCCTGTCATATAGCCGGAATATTGCTGAGTGTGGCGTTAAACAACAAACACCACTAGTCCAAGACTGTTACAATACAGCAGGACACAAGACATTTCCATGTGGACTACCACTTTTAATTTCTGGCGAGCTATGGAAAAAATTACCCTGTGGGCTATTTTGATATGGCACTTACCAGTAACTTCACTGCCTCACTGTGATTTTCTTATGAAGTCCTACGTAACCAATGATACTGTGTTTATTGCAGGTGACCAATGGGCATTAAGTGCAAACGTTAGTCCGTTAGCAGGGAATCTCCACGCTTGCTACTACCAGAAAATTAACGAAACGCTACAAGTAGGAGCGGAGTTAGAAACCAGTTTAAGGATGCAAGAAAGTGTGGCAACTGTAGGATATCAAATAGAAATACCCACTGCTAATGTTCTGTTCAGAGGTAAGTGGATTGATTCATTTTCTTGTGTGATGAAAGTTTGCCTTATTATTTGCCCTAAATTTTATAAACAGCAATCGGGGACATGGGTGGCCCTGTCGTCTCAGGTGCTGTGATTCACTGTGCAGAGTTGCGTCCCTTGGGCACGCCTGAAACCTATGATTATGGGTTCGAATCACGGTATGCCCCGATTATGTTTCTAGGTTTGTCAGCACCATACCCGTGCTCGTGGGTTTCACCGAAGTGGTAAACGTCTGAGACCTGCATCACTTCGGTCTTTCCTCCTACATTAAGCTGACACGCCGTGATATAACTGGAATACTGTTAAAAGCAGCGTTAAACCCAACTCACTCACTATAAACAGCATTCCTTCCACATTTAGCTGACACGCCATGATATTAAGGTGAAACGATACATCTGTGCCCTGGTGCATCATGAATTTACATGGGCCGATACGATACACGATATTTCTTTTTCTGTATTGATACAAGAGTTTTCAGTCAAATGTCACAATTGTGTTGAAATTAACGTTTCAAGTTCACTACTTAAAAAAAGTCGCAACGAACATGTGTTCACAGCTATCTTTTGCTTTTGAACCAGCTCTGAAATATTTACAGTAAGAAGTTTCTACACCATTTGACATAAATATGCGTATCGCGATACGTATCATATCGTGACCCATGTATCATGATACATATTGTATTGTGACCTTGCTGTATCGTTCCACCTCTACATGATGTATCAGGAATACTTTTCAAAGCGACATAGGGGCGGTCGGGTAGCCTAGTGGTTAAAGCGTTCGCTCGTCACGCTGAAGACCCGGGTTCGATTCCCGACATGGGTACAATGTGTGAAGCCCATTTCTGGTGTCCCCCGCCGTGATATTGCTGGAATATTGCTAAAAGCGGCGTCAAACCATACTCACTCACTCAAAGCGACATAAAACCCAACTCACTGAAGTGTTTAAAGGTAGGAGCAATCAATTGATAAACAATACTGAAAGAAATCATGAATGAACAGGGAATTGGCAAATAATCAACAATAAAACCAAATACCATCATTTTCAATCTCATTGAAATCAGATCTTATTTCTTGCTACAACTAAACAAAGATCTGAGGACATCCCCTTAAGGGTCACTTCAGAACGACCTTTCGCAAATTTTGACCGACCAGTGAAATGACTGACATTAAATCGACATTGGCCAATCAGAAGGCAGCTTTCTCAAGCTTTACGCCACTAGTTTCAAACTGGCGACTAGGCTTCAAAACATACTTTGATGTATTCTAGATTAAAAATGTAAAAACTAAAAAGGTTGTTTCTAGGTTTGTCAGCACCATACCCGTGCTCGTGGGTTTCACCAAAGTGGTAAACGTCAGAGACCTGCATCACTTCAGGCTTTCCTTTTCCACATTAAACTGACACGCCGCGATATAACTGAAATACTGTTAAAAGCGGCGTTAAACCCAACTCACTCACTCACTCACTCACTCACTCACTCACTCACTCACTCACTCACTCGGGTCGGTCGGGTAGCCTTGTGGTTAAAGCGTTCGCTCGCCACGCCAAAGACCCGGGTTCGATTCCCGACATGGGTACAATGTGTGAAGCCCATTTTCTGGTGTCCCCCGCTGTGATATTGCTGTAATATTGCTAAAAGCGGCATAAAACCTCCCTCCCTCACTCACTCACTCACCCTGTGGATAATACATGTGTTGTATATTTCAGGTCAGTTTGACACTAACTGGTGTATAGGAGCTGTTCTGGAGAAGAAACTCCTGCCTTTCCCCTTCACATTTGCACTGAGCGGCTATGCCAACCACGTGAAGTCACAGTTTAGGTTCGGCGTTGGCCTCATCGTGGGTTGACGTTGTAGATACTGTTTGGATGACAACTAATAAATATGAAGTGTGTTAGTCATCAGCTGAATGTGTGATGTGTGAAGGACAGTACTGTATTCATGTGCATTTACTCCTCAGGGTGGACTTAACTAGAACACATATTCATGCTTGTTAGGAAAATAGCATTTTGTGTGACTCGAAGATCACGGGAGAAGCAGCAAGGCATTTGTTGATGGTTCAGATCAATTGGAATTGTTACAGAGTGCGTAATTAAGGGGCTCCTTGGATCCTTGAGGTTCACTTTTGTGGCACTTGAGTCTTCGGACCCCACGTCATAATCTAATAGCATTAGAAATGAGACCAGGGGAGTGGAAATTTCAAGATTGTGAACTTGTCCAGGGATACCGTATTCGTCATAATAAGTGCCCAGGGTGCTCTCAAAATTAGAAATTGGGGGCTCTTATTAGAATATAATTTTGGTGAGAAAAAAACCCAGAGTTGAAATATTGTAAATTTTGTGGTTTATGCTGACAGCCTGAAATGATACAAAAGAAAAATCTGTGCGTATCATACACGACAGATATATTTTCCAGAATTTAATTGCCCATAGTTATGGGTGCATATACGCACGAGTGTGTATTATACACAAATAAATCGGTCTTGTGTACATTGATCAATTGGAAGGGGTTCTCATTGGGATTGTTCACTAGCCAGTATATTAGCAAATATGGCTGCGGGCGCTTATTACGTCGAATACGGTAATCACATATCCAGATTATTGACCAAAAGTGGATTTCCAATCCAAAAATCTGTGAATTTAGTGTCTGCGGTTTTTCTTTCAATATTTGTTCTGATCAGTTTTCATATCTCCTGTTTTCCGAACATGAAGAATACAAAACGAAAACCGTACATTTTGAGCAGACAGTGTGATGTGCCATGACGTCTTACAAGCTGCCCAGTTGGTTACATGGTACTCTGATAAGCCAATCAGAGTGTGTGTCCTGACACATGATCAATGTCGGAAGGAAGTAAACAATGCACAGCCGTCGGTTGGATTGGTCATACTTGCGATGTTTACACTTTTTCAAAGCTATGTTTAGTACTTGTTTAGAAAATGTTATCAAAATTGACACAAGGTCTGCTACATTTTATGGTTGTGCGCGGACAAGTGCAGCTAGCATTTCTGTTTGTCAGGCTATTTCACATGTCTGGCGAGTCGGGCATGTCTGGCGAGTCGGGCATGTTTGGCGAGTCTGGCATGTTTGGCGAGTCGGGCATGTCTGGCGAGTCTGGCATGTCTGGCGAGTCGGGCATGTCTGGCGAGTCGGGCATGTTGGGCATTGATTTTCCACACCCCTGTGACAATGACCTTTTGACTTTCATGATTAATTTGAAACAATGAGTTAACTGTCCTGTTTTTATAGATATGTCAGTGGAAGCAAATTGAAACAGAAACAAGCTTTTTGCTTCAGAGATGTTAGAGATTTCTTCTGTTTTTATTTGTTGCATGCAATGAAACTTATGAAACTTTTGTTGCAAATAAATGTCTGACTGCCACTGATAAATATTTGTAAATATTTCATTTTGTGATAGGGGCGGTTGGGTAGCCTAGTGGTTAAAGCGTTCGCTCGTCACGCTGAAGACCCGGGTTTGATTCCCGACATGGGTACAATGCGTGAAGCCCATTTCTGGTGTCCCCCGCCGTGATATTGCTGGAATATTGCTAAAAGCGGCGTAAAACCATACTCACTCACTCACTCATTTCGTGATATAAGCAGGATCATTGTTTCTGGTTTGTGTATAGTTGTTAGATGTGCATCAGGGAAGTGGTCTGTCTATCCCTTGGTTTTGTTATGCAAGGTTCAAACCATTTTGGGTGAATATTGAAATATGATTCTTCTACATGAACAATCGGAAATGTTTGTGGGCGGTCATTGAATGTGGTTAAAGGATCCTCGTCATGCCGAAAACCCGGGTTAGATTCCCGACATGGGTACTATGTGTGAAGCCCATTTCTGGTGTCCTCTGTCGTGATATTGCTGGAATATTGCTGAAAGCGGCGCAAAACCATACTCACTCACTGAAATGTTTGTGTTCCTAATATTTGAATTGCATCTATTTGAACAATATTCTTCATTGTGTCGTCTTCAGCAAATGTCAGTAAAAATTCCCAAATTGGAATTTAGAATATTCCATTCATTGTTATTCTTAAAACCAATGTTACGGCTTCTTGGGGCGACATATATATCACTAATGACAGATAACAGGACCAAAGAAGAGGAAAAGGATTTAATTCAGTTTTACATAATTGCATTGAATGCAATGGTAAAATGCTATGTTAAAAACCTCTGAAATAGTCCCAATTTTTAACAAAATGGAGATTGTATTTATTATCATTACTATTTAAATATTAATTTTTTGTTTCCCAAATTGGCTGACAAGAGCATGGAATCCTGGATAAATCTCTGATATAACGAATATCCATCTGTTGTAGTAATTGAGTGGTGCGGTGTGTAACAGTTGTGATGGTGTGTAGGTTATGTAATACTGCCCTTGTGTACATAGGTCTTATGTAAGTGTGTAGCTCATTCCATTCATGTTGACTTGATCCAAACTGTTGAATGTATCAGGAGCCATGCAGAGGATCGCCAGGCTCCATAAGGACATCATGGCATGTTAAGTTTCATAAAGGCCGAAAAGAAATATATTTTCCCAATTTCAGCCTGTTCAAAATAAGGCAGCTGGGTTGTTTTTTGTGTGTTAATTACGTTTCTTTCTTTGAAAAATAGTAACTTGCAGGTAGTTGGTATAGGCCTGCTTTCAAATTGCAAATTTTTCGATGTTGAAGATAACTTCTGGATCTGTAGTGAATTACTACAAATTTCTGCTTGTGGTATCAAATATGAAGAGGCCTTGGTGCATCTTCAGGACCAGATGCTGCAGACCTGGGACAGGTGGAAACGGGAAACATATTTTATTTTTGGCCTACGGTGTATCTGTTATTTATGTGTCTCATCCAAGTTGTATCGGGAAGCAGAACATCAACTTTTTATATATATATAACAATGATATATATATAATGTACACCAGCGTTCGAAATACCTGCCTGCCCGACTGTCCGAGACGGGTTGATTTCAACTCGGGCTGAGAGATTTTCAAATCCCCCTGCCCGACGGTCGGGTTATATTTCATAGGTGAAAATATTCTAAATATTTCCCGATGATAAGCATTAATTCACATGTAAAGATGAATGATAAAATGTAACCAAAAAGAAACCCTGTTAACTTTTAGACAACCTAACATTTAGCGATGCGCTTATGCTACAAGCAATCTGTTTTCATATTTTAAATTAAATTATCCTGAGAAACATATGATTATAGTGGGCAGGCAGGTTTTGGTCAGGGCTGGCAGGTTTTGGTCAGGGCTGGCAAGTATTTCAGCTAGCCAGTCCTGTGGTCTGGCTGAAATATTTGGGAGTTTCATACCCTGTGTACACTCAACAATAGTTCATGTGATCATGTCATTCTTCATTACATTTTAATTAAAGCCTTTTATTCAAAAGTTGCTTCTTTTTCTGTAAAGGTTTTCTGTGTTCTGGGATTTATGAGAATGATGGATGTTCCTCATAGCCATATGCAATTTTTTTTAAAATTCGAAATTTCAAATCCTGCACAGTAACTTGTTCTTATCATGAGTTGTTGTTAGGGAAGCTTTGTATTTATACAGTTTCAGGTGGGAAGAAGTCCAGATCACATTAGCAGTTGTTGTTGTGTATAAGGAAGAAGGGCTCAACTTGTTTCCTTCCATGCTAAGATTGTGTGCGATTTTACGGTGTGGAAGAAACAGATTACTGGTCCTGTGCCCGTCATTTACCATTTATCTTTCAACTTGCGCTTGTTAGATAGGTTTTGAAAAGACTCGTAAGATCAATGGCATTTGACAGACACTTGTGTAGTAATCGGTATATCATGGCTGTTTACTTCATGATATCATTGACCTTCAGTTGGACCCTGGTTGTAAAACTATTACCTAAATAAAATTTCTGCTGACATTTTCCATAATTTAATTTGATCTTTTATCAAGGAAAACTGATGTGGCATCCCGTAACATGCTTAGTACTTGCGTTGCTGGTAACCATGGTAACACTACAGGTCCTTCTTTGGCGAACCTGATATGTATATCATATTTGTCAACTAGTTTAGAAGACCCTTCAAAATGTATTAAAATAATAAAGATTTTTATTAACTTTCATGAGTAATTTGTTTATTTTTTCACACTACCGTCCCATGTATGTGAAGGGCAGAGTTTGGTGGTTTAGTGAAAACAGTTTGCATGTGATGCTGTAAACCTGGGTTCCGTTCCCCTCATGTGTAAGGTCCATCCTTGGAATCTTCTGTTGTGATGTGTTTGAAATATTGCTCAAAGCAGCGCATGTTACGGGAAACATAAGTACAGTATTTGACGTAATAAGCGCCCAGGGCGCTCTCAAAATTAGAAAAAGGGGGCTCTTATTAGAATTTATGTTGGTGAAAAAAACGGTTGAAAGATAAATTTCGTTGTTTAAAGTGACAGCCTGAAATGTTTGTGTACGACAGATATGTTTTTCCAGAATTTAATTGCCCATTATTTAGGGTGAATATAACACACAAGTGTGTATTATACGCGAATAAATAAGTCTTGTGTACATTGATCAATTGCAAGGGGTGCTAATTGGGATAGTTCACTAGCCAATATATCAGCAAATATCGCTGTGGGCACTTATTAGAGCGGGGCGCTTATTACGTTGAATACAGTATTTTTCTATTTGACCTGAGAACAGTAGAAATATATGATATATTTGTCTCTAAGCAAGAGATTAATGTTTGTGTTGTGCCATCCAATTTCAAAATCCACTACGATGGTGTGGTTATGTTAATATGGAGGCGAGAACATTACCCCAGTCAGGATAAGCTAAATTCACGCTACAATGAGTGAGGCTTGCTCGCAGTACAATGTGTCGGTACAGGGAGATCTGGGGTAGAATAGGTCTTGAGCAACCCATGCTTGCCATAAAAGGCGACTATGCTTGTCGTAAAAGGCGACTAACTGGATCGGGTGGTCAGGCTCGCTGACTTGGTTGATGCATGTCATCGATCCCAATTGCGTGAATCGATGCACATAATATCAATCACTGGATTATCTGGTCCAGACTTATTTACAGACCGCCGTCATATAGCTGGAATATTGCTGAGTTCGGCGTTAAACAACAAACAAACAAACCAACCAGAACAGGGACTTATACTGCAGGGTCGGCAGCCATCGGCAGTACAACTTCCGAAATTGGTATTACAAATTTCAAATTTCATGTAGTAATATTATAGCTTTGTAGAGGAGTGTATTTCACTGATAATAGGACAAGTAACAAGGATAGAAGACTTTAGTGGTTAGTTTTACACTACTGCATTGAATGCAGGGTGAAAATACCCTCTAGATTTTGAAAATTTAAAGTTTTTAGAACTTTATCAAAAATGTGAATTTTGAAAAGTATGTTATTTTCCCCAGTTTGGCTGCAAAGGGCACTTAAATATCATACAGCTAAAACTGGCCATGATAATCAGCTTGCAGATACTGGTATACTTCGTTTGTTGTTGAAGACTGCACTCAATATTCCAGCTACATGACAGGTCTGTAAGTAATCGATTCTGGACCAGACAATCCAGTGATGGGCATCAATCTAGACATTTGGGACACCTGATCCTGTTTGTTGCCTGTCACGACAAGCATGGGTTGCTGAGAACCAATTGTAACCCAGATCTGCACGGGTTCACAGAAGCATCTGAGTTGCTGTTGGCTTTTGAAACTGCCAGTTCTAAAAATAACCAGTCCCTCCCCCCCCCTCGAATTTATGTCAGTCCAACTGATTTTAATTCTGTTAACATCATGTTCAATGCAATGATGTCATCTTTGAAGTAACTCAGTTAGATTTACACGTCATTCAGACATTCACACAAAGTACAGTTACAGTTGTCTTTTTTTTTCATATTTCGAGACAAAGTCGCTACAAATATATATTCATCCTCGAAGCAAAGCGAAATGTTATATCCTTGAACTAAAAATAGATGAGGGGAAACCCTGATGGAAACGGACAAAGCTGACTTTGTTTCGAAAAATATACTTGTATGACTATCGCCAATGTTTTGTGCAGCAACAAAGATTTATTATGTACTTCGTTTGCTGGTCCACAGGAACTGGCAGTCACATGAATTACCAGTCCAAGTCTAGTTTTACCGGTAAAAAACCTGGTAATTACCGGTAAATGGGAACACTGTATAAACATGTATGGTGGTGATGAGTTATGTTGCTGGCTGGCAGTGTTTCGGCCTTATGTTTGCTTGTAGGTATTGGGGTATAAATCTGGCTCCAGTGGAAGTGAGCTAGAACCCCCATTGCCTATACTACTTACCGGTAGCTGAAAATGTCTGTAGTCACCCTGATTTGGTGTTCTGGTTTCTGATCACATGTACTGGCACTTTGACATGTGGATGGAGCTTGTTCAGCATTACTCAACACCATGAAGAATGAGAGATTCTATCAATATCGTGCCCAATTCTAATCTGGGGGAGGGGGCACGGGTGGGCCAGTCGTCACTATTCGCTGTGCAGGGTTGCTTCCCTTGGGCACGCAAGAAACCTATGAGTGTGGGTTCGAATCCATGTTCGCCCTGATTATGTTCCATGCTCGTGGGTTTCACCAATGTGGTAAACGTCTGAGACCAGCATCACTTCAGGCTTTCCTCACGCATTAAGCTCACACGCTGCGATATAACTAATACTGTAAAAGCGGCGTTAAACCCAACTCACTCTCTCTAATCTGGGGACTTTTTTATGGTTTGGTTCACAGATTTTTTCTCTCATGAGTCAGTGGTCAAATAAAAATAAAAAATACTTTCAATTTTGTTTTTGGATTTTGTGTAAACATATGTAGTGGGTAGGTGGTAACTTAATTCAATGGCATGATGGCCAAGATGCAGAACAACTATTCAAAACATTCTGTTTTGAGTTTGATTCCTTGTGTTATGACATGCATGAAAACAATTTTTGATCTATTTTTTTGCTAAATGGGGTTTTCAGACTTGGCAGAAATAAAACAAACTATTAATTGAGGAATTTTTTTTTCTACTTTCCTAATTTTTACGGCTGGTGGTTCTGTAAACATGGTAAACCAATCAATGAAAAAACGATCTGTAAAGATCCGGTTTAGAATAGGTCTTCAGCAACCTATGCTTGCCGTGAAAGGCGACTATGCTTGCCGTAAAAGGCGACTATGCTTGTCGTAAGAGGCGACTAACGGGATCGGGTGATTAGACTCGCTGACTTGGTTGATGCATGTCATCGTATCCAAATAGTGTGATTGAATCACTGGATTATGTGGTCCAGACTCGATTACTTACAGAATGCCGTCATATAGCTGGAATATTGCTGAGTGCGGCGTTAAACAACAAACAAACAATGAAAAACCCCACCTTGGTGTAGATGTTGTACTTGGTGCTATGTGTGATCAGGTGTTGAACTCTACAAGGGGAGAGGCAGGAGGGGATGAAAATCTAATACAGTTTAAAATTAAATTAAGTTTTAAGTTTTGAATAATTTGCATCCTGGTAATGCAAATGCTGAGGTCTTCCATTAACTGCGGGACGAAGGAGGGCAGTTGAAACGACCGAGGGCTTCTGCAAATGATAATGCCCTGAAAAAGAGCGTTACTGTTATTATAGCTGAAATGGATAGAATTTGTTATCAAATAAAAAGAAACAACATTATGGGTTTTGAAACATTTACTGCAATCAACACGAATGTCACTGACCCATTTTTACAAATATGGAAACGTCATAGAACAAACCAGATGATGTCACAATTAAACGATGTCACTTTCCCTACCCTATGACGTCACCTAACAACAGGCGTGGTAATGACCCGTCGTCAAGGGATATGAGGGCACAATCAAGTTACAGTGGCCTGCTGATGTCTGATAACGTGCGGGCGGTTTAATGATAATTCTATCCATTTTAGCTATAATGTAATATAGCACCTCGTGTCAGATTTTTAAGATTTTGTGATTGTAACAGATTTATGTATTAGCATGTTCCACAGAGTTTATTTGAATGATTATCAATTTGATAATACAACAATAAATGAGAAATGAACTGTCTCGAGTCTGTGATGTGTTTATGCTGGGGAAACACTTTAAGTTAAGTTTGTATGAGTGTATGTAAAACCCAGTCTGGCCCCAGGATCTGCTGACTCTGAACTTCTGATCTGACCAGACTATGATCTTTGTAAGCAATTTTTAAGTGGTAAAAAAACCCGATCTGTTGCAAAGTGTGCACCGAATTGTGCAGTTGTGATCTTCACTTCATCAACCACTGAGTGGGTGAATATTGTTTGTTTGTTGTTTAACGCCACACTCAGCATGCTGCAGCTATATGACAGCGGTCTGTAAATAATTGAGTCTTGACCAGACAATCCAGTGATTGATACCATGAGCATCGATCAATGCAATTGGGATTGATGACATGCATCAACCATGTCAGCGAGCCTGACCACCTGATCCCATTAGTCACCTCTTACTACAAGCAAAGTCGCCTTTTACGGCAAGCATGGGTTGCTGAAGACCTATTGTACCCCGGATCTTCACGGGTCCGGAAAGATCAGAAGGTCGGAGGTAGGATCTCCTGGCCACGTCATACCAAAAGACGTTAAAAATGGAATCTTATTGATACCCTGCATGGTGCTATGCATTAAGAGGACAAAGCAAGGACTGGTTGGCAAGGAGTCGACATACCAGTAGGGTATCCATGTTAAACTGCAGCATGGTATCTCTGTGGGCTGGCACTTTTAAATGGGGATAAGTCTGGACTGCACATAAACACACACATCGATGTATAAGTGCAATAATCTTGAATGTGACATTTAACCTCATCTCACCTCGTTTACAATGGCCCTGTCAGGATTCTGGGTTAAAATTCGTTCCCAGTAATCTTTGCTGGTTCTTAGAGGCGAATTAATGGATTGGGTAGTCAGGCTCGGTAACGTGGTTTACAGTGTGTCATTGTACCCACCACAGCGTGGATTGCTGCTCACAATATCATGAATATCAGTCACTGGAATGTCTGGTCCAGACACAATTATTTACAGGCTTCGAACCCAACTCACTGTTAACAAAACACAGTTATTCAGATATATATCTTATTTGCCATGGATGAATCCCATTGATGAGTCTCAATTCTCACATACTTGTACCCGCGATAAGAGATATTTTTGTTTCTGATAAGAAACATTTAAACTTTCATGTCGATAAAAAAACCTTCAAAGGGCCCTGAAAAAAATCTTTTGAAAAGACTCTCGAGTTCAGTGGTTTCCTGAAATACATGAACACTGGTCTGGTGCTCGCAAACCAACTATCATTATTCCGATTCGAACCAATGACAACCCTGGCAACCGCATTGGGTTTTCACAGTGCAAGTTCTAGAAACAGCAGTCAGAAACAGCCTGGTTTTTTGTACATTGTAATTATTCCATAAATTTAAATTCAACGCTCGTAGTAGCAGCAGCAAGAAGGTGCGATTTCTGTTTTGTTTGAGCGCAAACAGTGCCTTGGATCTCAGCTGGGATCCGTCTCTTCATAACAATCGGAACGACTGACCCTCTGAATAAAGCTCCACGCATTGATATTGTCATGCCTAAAATATGATGGAACATTGACCTATTCAGACGCACTGTAATGGAGTTTGCATGTTTGTCAGCTCCTTACAGCGATGTTTCCGAAATCTAATGTGTTTCAACAATTATCAATTTGATTGGTAGGCCCTGTTTAAGAGTTGGATTTCATTTCCGTGGGCGTCGTAATAATACGAGCAGTGCCGAATGCTTTCATGCATTACAAAAACTTCCGGTGTTATTGCATGTGCACGTGTTTGGGAAATTCATGACTTCTTGAAAAAGGTAAATCGTTTTTACAATTTTATGACAATCTTTTTATCAGAAGATAGTAAGACTATCACGCAGTTGGAACCACAGTATCATCAAAAGTATCAAAAGTGTTTTGGGTGTGTTGAAATGATGAACCCTACCCTGTGAAATGTTTCTAGAACGTTCACGTTGACTGACACACGTCGTCTGCTGTTACTGTTTCACGGTGTTTTTCCTATTTATCGTGTCGCTGATTTGTTTATTCCACAAACTGCACAGTTAATAAATTCATCCACATCTATGTAGCGCTTGCAGGATCGTGACTATTTTCTTGACTGTTGGAACATTCACGGCACTCGGATATGCCCTCTTACTCTTAGTCTTACCGTGACACATCTGAAATATTTACAATATTGATTGAAATGAGACCCAGATATTCAGGATGTTTCAAGCCTTTTTTATAGTGTTTTTGCCGTATGAAATATATAAATTCACGCCAAATCGATGTCAAATTAATCATCGCGATACATATTAAATGCTCAACAGGCCTCAAAGTTAATTTTTTTTCAAAGGAGCCACTTTGCTCCTATAATTTTTTTTCAAGGAGTCAAATAGAATTTCAAGGAGCCAAAAGCAAAAACAGTACACATGGCCTAGCAGTGATCTAGTCGATGTTATTATGTTCTGATATCGATTTTTTTTCACTGAAGTTACCGCACTTATATTAAAAACTATCTTTTTTAATATCTTATGACAAGAGATATTAAGTCGCCAAACTTATTTTAAAGACAAGGAGCCAGTTGGCGACTGACATGAAAATACCAGTCACAAAATACAAAACTAGATCGCCATGGCGACCAATTTAGACGTAACTTTGAGGCCTGCTCAATACGTAATTGTTACATATGACATATTACATTGGGCATCTCGGCGTTGTGTTCCTCATTGCATTCATTTATCAAATACACAGCAGAACAAGCCGATTATATTGTTGTACACCATCAAACAAGTCCCCATGCCTGACGACCCGATCTATTAACATGAAAAGCATTGGCTGCTGGGATCCTTACTAGCTCAGAATCCACACGGGTCTACATACACCAATGTCAGTTGCAAAGTACTTCCATCTTGTATTAAGTCTTGGTTCTCTCACTGTTCTGTTTCACTCCAGACTCTTGATTGTTCAGTCATGTTGTTTGATTAACAATTTATGTCAGGTTAATTTAGAATTGTCTTGCAGCACAACTACCAGTATGACAGAGGAGCAGCAAGATTCAGCCAGTGGGAACAAGCCACTGTTCCGAGACATTACTGGTGATGACGACACCCCGGAGATCACCGAAATAGAGAGCTATTGTGTCAACTGTGAGGATCAGGTCAGTACGCATAAAGCTAAAATATACAAATGGTCGGTTTAGGCAAATTATTATTATTATTATTATTATTATTATTATTATTATTACCGTATTCGACGCTCTCAAAATTAGAAATAGGGGTCTCTTATTAGAATATTGTTGAACGATAAATTTCGTGGTTTATGCTGACAGCCTGAAATGTTTATGTACGACAGATATATTTTTCCAGAATTTAATTGCCCATAATTAAGGGTGCATATAATACACGAGTGTGTATTATACACGAATAAATAAGTCTTGTGTACATTGATCAATCTGAAGGGGTTCTAATTGGTATTATTCACTAGCCAATATATTAGCAAATATCGCCGTGGGCACTTATTACGTCAAATACATTATTATTATTATTATTATTATTATTATTCCTGTTCTCCACCCACATCATTTTCATTCAACCCCCTGTGTCAGGAATTTATATTTTCAGAATTTTTTGTCAAGGGGGGGGGTCCCTGTAACTGGGCAGGAAGGGAAGGCTTTTTAGGGCTTCCTGGCGTCCCTCACTGTAATATTGCTGGAACATTGCTGAAGGTGGCATAAAACCATGTAAAACCAAACTCACTCACTCTTCGAGGATGTTATTTGCCTGGATCAGCTAATGTTAAAGAATTATTATTATTTTATTTTTAGGGCTTAACAAGATTATTTTTGACAAGGATTCCATTTTTCCGGGAAGTGATAGTCGCTTCCTTCTCCTGTGATCACTGTGGTCATCGGAATGCGGAACTACAGCCTGGCGGAAGGATACAGGATAAAGGAGTGCGTTATGAGGTCCTCATCAAAAGCAAAGAAGTGAGCGCAACACTTGCCAAACTCAGAGCTCCAGATAAGCTGTGTATCTGCGTAAAATACGCATCAGATATGCAGAAATATGCAGTAAAATCAAATCCAAGCGTATCAAATACGCAACGAACATTACAGATATGCTACAAAAATAAAACTTGTGCGTATCATCAAAATATTGTGAAGTAACCTTGCGTATTTGATTAGCAAATCAGCAACTTATTTTGAAATTATAAACGGGCATTCCGTCAACCTTGCCAAACTCCACGATGACAGTTACATCATGATTATTTGCCATCACACCTTCTTTTGGAAGTATCGTGGTATTTTTGAGGCCTTTAAAGCTCTCGAACCCACACGACACCAGTTTGCAGGGACTAGATGAATAGTGTTTATAAATATTTAACTTAAATACCCACATGTGTAGAAACTAGTGGGTAACAGAAATTTGAATACGCAGATAGAATTACTGATACCCAATGATTTTAAAATGCATGGGTAAAATACCCACAACACCAAAAGCTTATCTGGAGCTCTGCAAACTAGTTCAATATATACATATTGTATTGTGAAATAAGTATTGCGAGATAGCATAAAGCAGAGTCCATATACCAAGCTTCTAATTTGTTGCATTTACAATTTTGGCTTTAATATAAACAACAAGAAAATATTTATCAAAACATCCTGCTACCCTGGTGATGATGTCTAAACTAGTTCAATGTATGCTTTCCTTGTCATGTATTGCAATTATGTTTTGGTACTGATCATTTATTTTTGGAGGGTGGTGGGCTGGCTGGATTTGTCTTAGGACTGGACCATTTTTTGCTGACAGCACCCCTATAATAATCTGTCAAATTTAATTACAGATTTTTTTTGAAAAAAAGAAATATCATTTTCCATGTAATACTTATGGTATTATAAGGACTGGTAGAAATTTGCCATTTTCAATAGTTTTGCTTCATGTTATCACGAGCGGGCTAAAATTTATTACCAAGATTTGACTTGTTCTATTCACTGATTGTAGACTCGTGAAGATCCGGGTAGAATAGGTCTTCAGCAACCCATGCTTGCCATAAAAGGTGGCTATGCTTGTCGTAAGAGGCGACTAATGGGATTGGGTTTTCAGGCTAGCTGACTTGGTTGATGCATGTCATCGATCCCAATTTCATGGATAGATGCTCATGATATCAAACACTGGATTGTCAGGTCCAGACTCGATTATTAACAGCCCGCCGTCATATAGCTGTAATGTTGCTGAGTGCGGCGTTAAGCAACCAACCAACCCTGATTGCAGTATTGTGGTTAGGTTGATTCAATAATTAAAGACAGTCAGTAATTTCTGAAGCAATTTGTTTGTTTTTCAGGATTTAAATAGACAGGTGGTACAAACAAATTTTGCCACTGTCTCAATTCCAGAACTAGAGTTTGAGTCACCTCCTAACAAGGGAGGTAAGTATGTATGATTGATGTTTGATGTCAATCTGTATTCAAGCTTTAACATTATGGTCAGAAGACAACTGAATCAGAGCCATGATCTGTAACCATGGTAACTACCTGAATTAGCGATGAAAACTGGCAAATATCAAGATGAAATATACACCTAGCAGCCAATCCATGTTAAGGACCATAATTGGAGGATCTTGTTTGCCTTGTAGCAAAATGGTGAGATTTCCCTTGTAATGAAATGGTTAGATTCGCCTTGTAAGGAAATGGTGAGATTTGCCTTGTAATGAAATGGTTAGATTTGCCTTGTAAGGAAATGGTGAGATTTGCCTTGTAACAGAATGATGAGATTTGCCTTGTAAGGAAATGGTTAGATTCGCCTTGTATGGAAATGGTTAGATTTGCCTTGTAATGAAATGGTGAGATTTGCCTTGTAACAGAATGGTGAGATTTGCCTTGTAAGGAAATGGTTAGTTTTGCCTTGTAAGGAAATGGTGAGATTTGCCTTGTAGGGAAATGGTGAGATTTGCCTTGTAACAAGAATGGTGAGATTTGCCTTGTAAGGAAATGGTGAGATTTGCCTTGTAACAGAATGGTGAGATTTGCCTTGTAAGGAAATGGTTAGATTCGCCTTGTAAGGAAATGGTGAGATTTGCCTTGTAACAGAATGGTGAGTTACAGAATGGTGAGATTTGCCTTGTAAGGAAATGGTAAGATTTGCCTTGTAAGGAAATGGTTAGATTCGCCTTGTAAGGAAATGGTTAGATTTGCCTTGTAACAGAATGGTGAGATTTGCCTTGTAATGAAATGGTTAGATTTGCCTTGTTACAAAATGGTGAGATTTACCTTTTAATGAAATAGTGAAATTGCCCTCCTTTGCAGCCATTCTGCCCTGGTCTGAATGTAATAGTTTTCTGAAAAGTCTATTAGACTTATCGTGCTAAATATGGGAAGTTGAATAGAAATTACATACATTTCTATTTGTTTGAATAATTGTATATAATATGTCCTATTCTGTCCACTTGTTCTTAAAACATTCCAATATGTTGTTGTTTTTTTTTTTATGCTGTGAAGTGCTTGACATTTGTTGAAAAGTTTACCGCATTATTGGGAGGGAGACATGTATGTGTTATTTCATCACAAGAGGAATGTGGCTTGACCTGGTTTGGGCTTGAATAGGCTTCTTAGTTCATCTACTCTGGAGGGGGCACGGGTGGCCCAGTCGTCTAAGGCGCCATGATTCGCTGTGCAGAGTTGGGTCCCTCGGCACGCCAGAAACCTATGATTGGGGTTCGAATCCCGGTTTGCCTCGATTATGTTTCTAGGTTTATCAGCACCGTACCACCATACACCAAAGTGGTAAACATCTGAGACCTGCATCACTTCAGGCTTTTCTCCAACATTAAGCTGACATGCTGTGATAAAACTGGAATACTGTTAAAAGCGGCGTTAAACTCAACTCACTTACTCACTCATCAACTGTGGAAAATCCATGTTTATCAATTCAGGATCTAAGGGAGGCAATCACATTGTAGTCACAAACATTGTGAGACATGAAATAGTAAATGTATTGAAACATTTTGTGAAAATTTATTTTATTGTAAATTTAATTACATCTTCCTTTTCAATAAAAACATAATTTGTTGCTGCTGTGTTGATGCCTCACATTAAATCATTCTTGTAATTACACGTGAAGATCCGGGTTAGAATAGGTCCTCAGCAACCCATGCTTGCCGTAAAAGGCGACTGTGCTTGTCGTAAGAGGCGACTAACGGGATCGGGTGGTCAGGCTCGCTGACTTGGTTGATGCATGTCATCAATCCCAACTGTGTGGATTGATGCTCATGATATTAATCACTGGATTATCTGGTTTAAACTCGATTATTGAAAGAGCGCCATCATAAAGCTGGAATATTGCTGAGTGCAGCGTTAAACAACAAATAAAATCGAGTCAGTCAACCAAGTCAATGAGTCTGACCACACGATCCCATTAGTCGCCTCATATGGCGTAAACCAACAAACCAACCAACCAGCATTCTTGTGATTGTTCCAGTGTTGACTACAGTGGAGGGCATCATTCAGAGAGCCGTGGATGGCCTGAACCAGGACCAAGTATTGCGGCGGGTAGGTCGTTAGGCTGCATGAAACAAATTAAATGTTTCTCTTGGGGGCACAGGTGGCCCAGTCGTCTAAGGCGCCGATGGGGCGGTCGGGTAGCCTAGTGGTTAAAGCGTTGGCTCGTCACTCCGAAGACCCGGGTTCAATTCCCGACATGGGTACAATGTGTGAAGCCCATTTCTGGTGTCCCCCGCCGTGATTTTGCTGGAATATTGCTTAAAGCGGCGTAAAACCATACTCACTCACTCACTCTAAGGCGCCGCGATTCGCTGTGCAGAGTTGCGTCCCTTGGGCACGCCAGAAACCTATGATTGTGGGTTCCAATCCTAGTTTCGCCCCGATTATGTTTCTAGGTTTGTCAGCACCATACCCGTGCTCGTGGGTTTCACCGAAGGGGTAAACGTCTGAGACCTGCATCACTTTGGGCTTTCCTCCCACATTAAGCTGACACGCCGGGATGTAACTGGAATACTGTTTAAAGCAGCGTTAAACCCAACTCACTCACTCACTCACTCAATGTTTCTCTGGCACAACTTTCTTTGATGTGAGGAGTGCAGTTGGATCATGTAATCTTTTGATTGAAACAAACTTGATGAAGGTGGAACACCTTTTAGCTCACCTGACTGAAAGCGTATGTCCTGGCCTGCTTGTCTTGCATCATCGGTGTCTGTAAACTTATTTATTACCCATAGTTCCTAAAAATCGTATGAGCACTCGTGCAAATATCACTTTTCACGTACGAGTGTATTGTTTCCATCATGCTGAGGGCATTGTAGATGTCGTTCGAATCTTATTGTGACGTGAGGTCGGAATGATCTCACGCTAGAAACAGCGTTAAATCTGAAAATTGTTGACGTCATTCGACAAATTGTGGTTTTCTAGGACAGCGTTGGTGATCAGTGCTGTTTTCTAAAGGGGAGCTCAAAAGGATTAAGAAATGATAGGTAATATAGAAATTATTACGCTAGCATGTGTGTCATACTGATTTTGCAAACTTGTGTAAGAATTTATGTATAACCTTCGGTCTCGCTCGGGAAATACAAGAATTCTGACACTCGTTTTGTAAATCAGTATGACACACATGCTCGTATAGTAATTTCCATTTACCCCGGTATGGCTACTGCCCAGTCATTTGTGCTCAAAATGTACTGTGATGCTTTCAAAGTCTCACAAGATGAAATTTGTGCGCTGCAATCAGCTTCTCTGAAATTGCCGGAGTGAGGAAGCTGAACATTGGCATGTATGTTTTTTTTATGATGGTGTCATTTTTTGGTAAAATCATTTTGATTTTACTGTGTATTTGTGAAACGATTAAGATTTTATGTCATTCTAAAATGCTATATTTTCCTTATTTGGCTCAGAGTTGAACTTGGTGTTGTGTAAATGTAACTGTTGTGAACTGCAGTAATGTTCCAAACTTTATGGGGCGGTCGGGTAGCCTGGTGGTTAAAGTGTTCGCTCTTCACACAGAAGACCTGGGTTCGATTCCTGACATGGGTACAATGTGTGAAGCCCATTTCTGGTGTCCCCAGCCACTCCAAACTTTACATTCTTCCTTGGAAACATTGTGGGAATCACAGCTAGGCACACACATGGGACTCAGCTCTTTAATAAGCTATATCTCCAGTCAGAAGGCAGAACGATAAATGTTTAGCAATTTCAAATCTTTGGAGGTCATCGTGGAGATACGAAGCAAGATATGGATGTTTGTGCGAGATATTCTCTACTTTCACTATGGGATAACAGTACACTGTCAGAATGAATACAAGCTCACTCTGAATGTTACAGGAGATTAATATTGTGAGTTTTCTATCTAGAGCCAGGTTACCTGTAGGTTTAACTGAGCTGAATTAGAATTTGGAACCCAACACGCGACAAAATTTCAAGCTCTCTAATTTCCTAAAACCTTACAACACTCTCTCTTAGTCTATTTCTGTCATGCCTAACATTTATTGTCACATATTTTGAATATTGAAGTTACGACAACCTATTATTGTACATGTCATGATTTCAAAATGCCAGCTAACAATGATTGAGGAAGAAGTACCGTATTTGACGTAATAACCGCCCCGCTCTAATAAGCGCCACGGCGAGATTTGCTGCTATATTGGCTAGTGGACAATCCCAATTAGCACCCCTTCCGACCCCTATTCGCATATAATACTCACCGCTTCCTTCCCCTATTCGCGTATAATACGCACTCGTGTGTTATATGCACTCTTTATTATTGGCAGTTAACTTCTGAAAAAAATATATCTGTCATACATAAACATTTCAGGCTGTCACTAGTGTCAGCATAAACCACGAAATTTATCTTTCAACTTTTTTTCACCAAAATAATATTCTGATAAGAACCCCCTATTTCTAATTTTGAGAGCGTCCTGGGCGCTTATTACGTCGAATATGGTACCTTTCTGTAGATATAAGATTCTGGGTGATGTGGCCATCATGGTGATGTGGCCATCAAACTAGCTGTATGAATCAGAGATGGTTATTGTGATTGACCAATGAGATGCGGAATTATTCAAATTCTTGGTATTCAAAACAATTTTACACCATCAAAATTCTTGCAACATTGACTCTTGTCCTACTTTGTCTGTCTTAGCTGGGGGGCACGGGTTGCCCAGTCATCTAAGGTGTTGTGATTCGCTGTGCCGAGAAACCTATGATTGTGGATTCAAATCCCGGTTCGCCCCAATTATGTTTCGAGGTTTATAGGTTTACCATACCTGTGCTCGTTGGTTTCACCAAAGTGGTGAATGTCTGAGACCTGCATCACTTCAGGCTTTCCTCCCACATTAAGCTGACACGCCGCGATATGCCTGGAATAATGTTGAAAGCAGCGTTAAACCCAACTCACTCTCTCTCACTCACTCACTCACTCACTCACTCACTCACTCACTCACTCACTCACTCACTCACTCACTCACTCACTCACTCACTCACTCACTCACCCACCCACCCACTCACTCACTCACTCACTCACTGATGCCTTGTGTTTCTGTTGCCATAGATACAACATCCTGAGATCGCTGCACAGATTGATGCTTTTGTGGAAAAGTTGGAGAAACTTAAGGAAATGAAGGAGCCTTTTAAAGTGGTAGGTTATACCTAACAGAACGGGGTAGTATTTTGTAGTAGTGGTGAGGATTGGTTGAGATCTTCATCTTCCCAGCAACCCATCATGCTTGTTGTAAGAGGCGACTAACTTGAACCAGGTGGTCAGGTTAGTGGACGTGGTTGGTGCATGACATTGTATCCCAATTGTATGGATCGATGCTCATGATGTCAATCACTGGATTGTCTGGTCCAGATTTACTTGTTTTCAAACCACTGTGGTATAGCTGGAATATTGCTGAGTTTAGCGTTAAACAACAAATAAACAAACAAAAATCTTTTCGATAAAAAATCTGTCCTGCAGCTTGTATGGGTATTCGTATCTGGAGCTCTGTTAAGCATAAGAAGGGAAATGAAATCAATGAAGTGGGTACTAATATTTTGTCCTTTTTCCAGAATTTACATGATGAAGGGACTCCTTATTCATGTTGTATAATGGTTCCAAATGTTAGAAATAAGTGTCATTCAGCATGTTAATTATGAAATACTTAAGGCAACATTTCACGTTTTTATTTATGGATCGTTCCATTTGGAGCCAAACTACACTGTCAGAAAACCGATTGTGAATAGTTGTAAATTTTACTTTATTTGTCATTCATTTTCATGCTGCCACCACTAGTTTCTATGATAGATTGGGCTGATGTGTGAACATGTCAGGAAACACACCATTTGCTACATTTTCTGATAAAAATGACTAGATTATTATCATACCTCCATGTCAGAATGATGAGATCGGATTGGTCCATGTGATCTTGATGAAATACAGTGTAACCCGGCTTGGAGGGTAATAAAGGTCTCAGTGGGGGATTAAATCTCTTATACCCCACCATGAGCAACACAGGCTCCTAGAGACAGAATAAATCCTTTACACCCCGCTTCAAAGCAAAAACCCATGGCTTTTTTAATGGATGTCACGTGACACTGTGCATGCTAACCTCAGCTCAATCGAGCAGCTGTTTTCTATCAGTTTGGAATATATGAATTATTTTAAATGTGATATTAAAACATGTTGATAAAATAAATTTGTTGCAGCAGGATCAGGCTTGTGGTATAAAACTTCATGGAGGACACATAAAACCCCATGTACCCTGAGTGATCCTGCTACAACATATACATAGGATAACCTACTTCCATCTGATCATCTGGAACTTGGTACTTAACTTCACTTGGGACAGTTAAGCCAAACATTCCTCATAGCTTGTAGGTTCTTCTCTGACTATCTATGACATCAACTACCATGGTGTTGTAAGGTTGTTATATATGTCTTGTGTTTCAGCTTGTAGACGACCCGTCGGGAAACAGCTTCATTGAGAATCCATATCCTTCCTGTAATGTTTATAGAAATACCATGGTTACCTGTGACTGTGGAGGTCATTTTATCTGTTGAAATAGTTTTTTGGCATCTTTACTTTCCAACAATGTAGACTTCTGAGCTGTATTATCTATGTATGTAGTATGGGAAGTGAAGATCGTAATCAGCTTGGCTGTACGTATGTTATGATTCACTTGCGTATTCGGTGAATTGAACGTATCCCTTCATGAATTGAATTCGTTATTCGTGGCCTCAAATACTTATGAATGTGCAAGCATGTGCATTTACATACCAAGTACCTAAAATATCCATAAGAACATGTTATATGCATAGATTTCTTCAAAGACAACACTCTTATAATATTTAATTTGACATGTGGTCACTGGTCATTGTCGCATTTGAGCAGATACTAGTACCTGGATAAGTGCTGTATATAAATGTATGATATATTTATAATTAACAATCCATGTCAAATAATTTATGTTGTTAATGCTTCACTGAATATAGCAAATAATGCTTCCGCTGCTGATTTGTTACTGTATTCATGAATTAATATTCGTATTCGTTACCATATATTCGTGATACGAATTGTACTCACCTCATTGTGTATTCGTTGCAGCCCTACTGTCTCTCTGTAATAATTTTTGTCCAGATCATATCTCTAAAACTAATGCAAACATTAGTGCCTTGTAGAGTAACCATGGAGATGAATTTTGTCATTAAACAATCCATCACGTGACTAACCACAGGTCAGGGTAGTCCTGTGGGTATCCAGGTCCTAATCAGTACCCAACCAACCCGAGTACCCAACTTACCCGTCCCAACACATATTTCTTTCTGACTATGCACACATTCCTTCTGACTTATATATGTTGGCCTCAAAGTTTAAATTTTTACCAAGTAGCCAGTGGTAAAATCAAGAAGTCAAGCCAATATTGTAGGTAGCCAAAAGCATTTGAAATTATCTTTTATCAAACAACTATTATATGTACAAGTCATAGCACTAGTCTTGCAATTGTATATTAGTGGAAACTGTGCATGCTGTACTTGAGTTTTGTTATTTGTGACTCTAACAATGATGCAATTTATGTTACTAGATTATATAGGTATATCCTTGCTTATCCAATAAACTATCAACTAAAATAAAATACTAATTAAATTAATATTTATGCATTTTGGTTCATTGTTGACTCTAGGAGGAATTATTTGCAGGTACAATCGGTAACAGACACATTTATTTTTGTGTCTACAGATGTCTAGCAATAGAATTTAGTCGCCACAAGATATTTTTGAAGGTAGTCATTTGGCTACCTCTGAATTTTAGACAGTAGACAAACTGAAATTTAGGTCGCATTGGCCACTGTTTTAGTCGCAACTTTCAGGCCTGCTCTTGAGACCTACAGCGGGTACCCTGGTAGAAGGGGTTGGGTACCCGGGTAGTAAATTTGGACTCGTCCCAGCCCTAATTTGTTCTTTAGAATTTGTAGTGGGATTTGGGATTTGTCATCTTCTGATGACTCATGTTTGACTTGAAGCCCACAATCCACCATTTGTTTGTTAGATTGGTAGGGAACTTGATGGAAATTTTGGGGAGCTGGCTCATATCGTTGTCTTTGTGAATGGACACCAAGAGTCTTGGGAAATGTGAAAAGTTGTTTGATTAATTGAAATCAATCAGAACTGCAGATTGCAACGATGGTTACATATATGACATTTTAAAAGATACACATAAAGGTTAGTGTGTCAGTTGTTGATTTTCTTCAGTCTAACATTGAAATACCCATCTGTGATATGCTGAAGGCTATTGAGCACGGCCCAGTTGTCTAAGGAGTCGCGATTCGCTGTACAGAGTTGCGTCCCTTGGGCACGCCAGAAACCTATGATTGTGGGTTCAATTCCCGGTTCGCCCCGATTATGTTTCTAGGTTTGTCAGCACCATACACATGCTCGTGGGTTTCACCGAAGTGGTAAACGTCTGAGACCTGCATCACTTCGGGCTTTCCTCCCACATTAAGCTGGCACGCTGGGATGTAACTGGAATAATGTTAAAAGCGGCGTTAAACCAAACTCACTCACTATTGAGCATGTTCAGTGATATGACATCTGTAAAATTAAAAAAAGACATCAAAAGATGAAACAAGTCACTGCATTTGTCTGAGTAGGGTGTCAGTGTTAGTCTGCGGCATGGTAACTAGCCAGCACATAAAAGGGGAAGTGTACACGCAAAAATCACTTTCTTTCTTTTTCTAAACAAAACGCAATTTTAGAATTAATTAGTATCTGTGTTTGAAAATATACACTCATTTTTTTCACAGTGAACGTAGGAAGCTCACAATAGTGTGAAAATGATATGCCGTTATGAGGCCTTCGTTTTTCGAGCTAAACAGGCCTGAGTTATCCCCCTTAGATTATGACGTAATTGGTGCCAATTCAACTGGGTCCCTGTCTATTCTCAACGCAAAAGATATCAAGTACCAGTTTGCGGTAAAACAACATGGCCTATGACACACTCCGGCGCAGTGGTGACTCAGCATAACACTATGCTGGCTGGCATCTGAGACGCTAGAATCACACACCTGGACCTACACCACGTGAAGCGGCTCTAACAAAGCATGATGACGTCATAATGTTTATCAATTGGCACCAATGACGTCATATTGCAAGGGGCATAAGCCATGGTGTTTTTGTTGTGGAAATAGAACACTTGGTAAATGTGAAAAATATAAATCGTTTTAATGCGAAAAATATGTTAATTAATTGTGATATTTTTATATTTTTGTCTATGACACTTCTATGTTAACACTTTTAATGTGGAAAAAGTACAAGAAAAATAGGTTCATTTCCGTGTGAACTTGCCCTTTAAAACTGGCATAAGTCCTGACTGGCACAAGGCGCCACACACACATATGCGTCCTTGTCACTATCTGTGCAATAATCCTGAACTTGATGTTAAACCCCATTTCCCCTTATCCTCCATCCAATGCTTTTGTCCTTAACATGCGGTACACATGCACCGAAGCACGACAAGGAGATGAGTGTACATCACTACACCAGATCTAAACAGCAGAACGAACAGCTCGGCCTCAATGAGGTATGTAGCACAGCAGTGCATCCTGGGATAGCTACGATTCCACAGGTACCTGGGTTACAATATGTCCCCATGAGGCCACTGGATTGGGTCCGATGGCAAGGCTCATTAGATCGGAGGCAACGGCATGGTGACTTGATAGCGTTTGTTTGTTTGTTTGGTTATCAATCACTGCACTCAGCAATATTACAGCTATGTGAAGGTGGCTTGTAAATATACGAGAATAGGTCGTCAGCAACCCATGCTTGCCGTAAAAGGCGACTGTGCTTGTCGTAAGAGGCGACTAACGGGTTCGGGTGGTCATGCTCTCTGTCTTGGTTGATGTATGTCATCGTATCCCAATTGCGTTGATCGATGCTCATGATGTCAATCAGTGGATTGTCTGGTCCAGACTCGATTATTTACAGACCGCCGTCATAAAGCTGGAATATTGCTGAGTGCAGCGTTAAACAACAAATGAAAACGAGACAGTCAACCAAGTCAACGAGTCTGACCACACGATCCCATTAGTTGCCTTTACAGGAAACACGGGTTCGATTTCCAACATGGGTACAATGTTTGAAGCCCATTTCTGGTGTCCCCCGCCGTGATATTGCTGGAATATTGCTAAAAGCGGCATAAAACCATACTCACTCACTCACTTTACAGGAAGCTTGGGTTGCTGAAGACAAATTCAAACCCAGATCTTCACTGGGAGTCAGCCACTTGATTGTCCTGCACAGACACAGTTGTTTACACTGACATTTAACTGAAACATTTCCAAGTGATGCATAAAACAACAAACAAACCACACAACTCTACATGCACCTGGTCGGTTTGTGGTGCACCGTGTGATCAGTCAACAAACAAACCACACAACTCTACATGCACCTGGTGGGTTTGTGGTGCACCGTGTGATCAGTCAACAAACAAACCACACAACTCTACATGCACCTGGTCGGTTTGTGGTGCACCGTGTGATCAGTCAACAAACAAACCACACAACTCTACATGCACCTGGTCGGTTTGTGGTGCACCGTGTGATCAGTCAACAAACAAACCACACAACTCTACATGCACCTGGTCGGTTTGTGGTGCACCGTGTGATCAGTCAACAAACAAACCACACAACTCTACATGCACCTGGTCGGTTTGTGGTGCACCGTGTGATCAGTCAACAAACAAACCACACAACTCTACATGCACCTGGTCGGTTTGTGGTGCACCGTGTGATCAGTCAACAAAGATTTGTTAGAAATACGACCGCCTCCGTGGTCTTGTGGTAGAGCGTCCGCCCGGAGAGCGGAAGGTCCAGGGTTCGATCCCGGGCCGCGTCATACAAAAAGACGTTAAAAGATTGTACTTGTTGTTACCCTGTCTGGCGCTCGGCATTAAGGGGCTAAAACAAGGACTGGTCGGCTCGGAGTCAGTATACTGTGTCTGAGTGGGGTATTCATGTTAAACTGCGGCATTGTATCTCAGTGAGCTAGCACTATAAATCGGCATCAGTCCGGACTAGTACAAGCAGCCACACACACACATACACGTGCATGCACGTCGCTATATAAGTGCAATAATCTTGGACGCGACGTTAAACCCAATTTCACCTCACCTCACCTGTTAGAAATACAGATACACTAGTTGCAAAGGATTCATTGGGTAATTACGCACAGTGTGTTCTATCGGGTGTTTTATGACTGTTTTCAGGAGGATGGGGAGGCTTCAGATGCAGCGGAGAGCGGGCAGGCGGTCAGCAAGGATGAGGTCAGTTGATGGTAAATGTTTGTAAGGACACGTGAAAAAAAATACTCATGCTTTTCATTACCTACTGGGGGGGCACGGGTGGCCCAGTCGTCTAAGGCGCCGCGATTCGCTGTGCAGAGTTGCGTCCCTTGGGCACGCCAGAAACCTATGATCGTGGGTTCGAATCCCGGTTCGCCCCGATTATGTTTCTAGGTTTGTCAGCACCATACCCGTGCTCGTGGGTTTCACCGAAGTGGTAAACGTCTGAGACCTGCATCACTTCGGGCTTTCCTCCCACATTAAGCTGACACGCCGCGATATAACTGGAATACTGTTAAAAGCGGCGATAAACCCAACTCACTCACTCACTCATTACCTACTGACACTAAAAAAAGAAAAATTGGTCCAACCTCAAGTGTTTCACTGGTTTTTTTTTATCCTTATGAATAAACTTCATGTTTTGCAAGCCCTAGCAAATACATATCGTGTTTATTCCTAAAACTGGATATATACCATCCCAAAACAAACAAGCATGATAACCTCTTTTTGATGTAGTGCCGTTCTTAAATTCTATTGTTAAGAAAAGTAGTCTCATCTCTCTCAAATGATACCAAAACATGACAAGTTTTCCTGGAATGTGTGCATTAATATATTGCATCAAGGTCTGTGTTTAGTCTGTTGGACACTGACAAGAAGCAATATAGTTCCAACTAAAACATGTTTTTTGGACACTGATAATGGTTTTCTTAGATTATTATTATTAAAATCGATAACAAACACCTGATCAGTTCTGACTTGTTTACCATGCTTGTAAACACTGAATTAGTACCTACTTGACCTGTCAAATTTGCATATATGTCATATAATAGACAGTGTTTATGTGATAAAACCAATTCAATACATTTGTTATCACAATGTAATAAATATGCAAATATTGTCCCCTATTGTCCCGCAAAACTGATTTCATGAAGTCCAAATGGTTCAGGATACGTGTTTCTATTTTGAAAGTTTTTCAAGAACTATTGCTTCTGTTTTTTCAAGCAACTTTCTTGTTCAGTGTGTATCAAGCATAAGGACAGTTTCACTTCTGAACATTACATGAAAATAAAATAAACTTGATCAGTAAAATCTTCATGCTCCAATCTCTCAGCCTCTTCAGATACCCCACAGTATGAAAGAAATATCACAAGATGTTCAGAGACATTGAAAATTATCAAAACTCATGTATCGTTTGCTAGTATTGCTCATTTAGCCAAACCGCCTCCGTGGTCTAGTGGTAGAGCGTCTGCCCGGAGAGCGGAAGGTCCAGGGTTCGATCCCCGACCGCGTCATACTAAAAGAGTTAAAAGATGGTACTTGTTGTTACCCTGTCTGGCACTCGGCATTAAGGGGCTAAAACAAGGACTGGTCGGCTCGGAGTCAGTATACTGTGTCCGAGTGGGGTATTCATGTAACACTGCGGCATGGTATCTCATTGGGCTAGCACTATAAATCGGCATCAGTCCGGACTAGTACAAGCAGCCCCACAAACACACACACGTACATGCACGTCGCTATATAAGTGCAATAATCTTGGAAGCGACGTTAAACCCCATTTCACCTCACCTCATTTAGCCAATCAAATTAAAATTAAAATCCCCGGAATATCTTGTTTATGATCATGAGCTTCTGTTCCTCTGGTTGAGAAATGTGCTTCTTCACAACAGATAATTTTTACCACTAATTTTTTTTAATATCTGAATAGCGTATTTGACGTAATAAGCGCCCAGGGCACTCTCAAACTTATAAATAGTGGGCTCTTATTAGAATATAATTTGGGTGAAAGAGTTGAAAGATCATAAATTTTATGGTTTATGCTGACAGCCTGAAGTGATACAAAAGAAAAGTCTGTGTGTATTATACACAAAAGATATATTTTTCCAGAATTTAATTGCTCAAAAATTAAGCTGCATATAACACCCGAGTGTGTATTATACACGAAAAAATAAGACTTGTGTACATTTATCAATCAGAAGGGTGTTAATTTGGATTGTTCACTAGCCAATATATCAGCAAATATCGCAGTGGGCTTATTAAAGCGGAACGCTTATTATGTCGGATACGGTAGCACATGATTTCTGTAATCTGACTTTGTTGTTGATCACCATGGTTACCATCTCTATGTTTCAAGGTCATTGAGTTCCAGTCTAACTGCCCAAACTGTCAGGCGCCATCCAGCACCAAGATGAAGATGGTTGGTATCCTTTTGCCACCTTCCTGGATTGTTTACCTGTGGGGATTTAGGGGGCATGGGTGGCCCAGTGGTATAAGGCATTGCAATTAGCTGTGCAGAGTTGCATCCCTTGGCTACCTGTGATCGTGGGTTCGAATCCTGGTTCACCCTGATCATGTTTCTAGGTTTGTCAGCAATAAATCCATGCTTGTGGGTTATCATCTAAGACCTGCAAACTAATAACTGACATGCCGTGATCTTATTGGAATGTTGTTGTTGCTAAACCAAGCTCACTCACCTCTGGGGATTCCAGGTTAAAATGGTTTTGAGAGGAGACTTAATGAGTGAGTGAGTGAGTTTTTGGGTTTAACACCGCTTTTAACAGTATTCCAGTTATATCACGGCGTGTCAGCTTAATGTGGGAGGAAAGCCCGAAGTGATGCATGTCTCAGACATTTACCACTTCGGTGAAACCGACGAGCATGGGTATGGTGCTGACAAACCTAGAAACATGATCAGGACGAAACTAGGATTTGAACCCACAATCATATGTTTCTGGTATGCCCATGGGACGCAACTCTGCACACAGTATCGCAGCGCCTTAGACGACTGGGCCACCCGTGCCCCCCAGGAGACAAGTGGTCAGACTTGGTGACTTTGTAGATTGCATGTCTTTGTACCCTGACGGTGTTGGTCGTTGCTCATAATATCAGTCACTGGTTTATCTGGTGCTGACTTGATTACTTACAGTCCGCCATGATATAGCTGGCATGAAACAGTAGACACACACACAAACTGGTTGTATCTCAAAACGCATCATACCAAACTGCTTTGTGACTCCAAGGGTAGGACTGCCCCCGTGGTCTAGTGGATAGATCGTCTGCCTGGAGAGAGGAAGGTCCAGGGTTCGATTCCCGGCCGCGTCACACCAAAGATGTTAGGAGATGACACTTGTTGTTACCTTGCCTGGCATTCAGCACTAATGGGTTGAAACACAGTAGTTGGCTTGGAGTCAGTATAAGACTTGGGACATGAGCGGGGTAATTATGTTTAACTATGGCATGGTAACTCATGGTGGGCTAGCTCTTTCAAAAACAACATTAGTCAGACATGCATCTAAGAGTGAGATGTTAACCCCATTTCACCTCACCCCCTGGACAGAAAGCAGGGTCGTAACCTTATTGTTCCATTTAATCGTGCCAAGATTGTTGATTATATTGTCAGTCCCTGTTTTTGTTGTCTGAACAAGGTTTGAAATAATTTTAAAACTTGAAAGACAACTGGGCAGGTGACCCGTAAAAATGTTTCCTGCTCTCTTCCAAGTTAACTGCTCACATTGAAACATTATGAAAAATTGAAAAATCGTGAAAAGTCGCATATTGAAATAATGCAAAACAATTACCTGGGAACTTGGCAGAGTTATAATAGAATACATAAGTAGTCTCAAAATTATCTGCGAGAGAGTCTGGCAGGCTGAGTAAAATTTCATGTAGCCCGACAGAAAAGTTACCAGCCACGGGCAGGCAGTTATGTCAGACACGAGTCGAAACCTATTTTTGTGCAGGGGCGGTCGGGTAGCCTAGTGGTTAAAGCGTTCGCTCGTCACGCTGAAGACCCGGGTTCGAATCCCAACATGGGTACAATGTGTGAAGCCCATTTCTGGTGTCCCCCGCCGTGATATTGCTGGACTATTGCTAAAAGCGGCGTAAAACCAAATTCACTCACTCACTCACTATTTTTGTGCAGGCCACCATGATATGACTGAAATATTCCGACAAGCAACATTTACTCTCTCTGTTAATATTGTCGCTCGTTAGCATCTTTAACAACTCCAAGATATTCCACATTTTAAAGAAGTTGTTATCATGGCGACCAATTGTGATGCTTGTGGTTACCGTGACAACGAGGTGAAGGGAGGAGGGGCCATTGAAGCAAAAGGCCGCAAGATATCTCTGAAGATAACAGATCCCAGTGATATGTCGCGTGATGTGCTCAAGGTGAGAAACATGGAACAGGTGAAGAAGTAAGGTAGCCCGGTGTTTAACTAACCTCATTAAAATCAGATCTTAGTTCTTGCTATCGCTAAATAAAGATCTGAGGACATCCCATTACGGGTCACGTCAGAATGACCTTTCATCCAACCAATCAGAGTGTCGCTTACCAGATCATGAAAGTGACAGTCGAAATGTGTTTTCTAATCATGCAACCACAATATATTTAACACGGGGTATTCCGAACGACAGTTACAGGTTTTATTATTATATCCATACAATCTATGCCATCTATAAGCCATTTCAGCATGTTCATCTTATCAGTTTAAAACTTTTTAATAGAGAATATGTCAAAATATGTTTCGAAGCTGCCATCTGATTGGCCAATGTCGATTTCTTGTCAGTCATTTCATTGGTCGGTCAAAATTTGCGAAAGGTCGTTCTGATGTGACCCGTAATGGGATGTCCTCAGATCTTTGTTTAGCGGTAGCGAAAACTAAAATCTGATTTGAATGAGATTGGTGTTTAACATGTCGCCCTTCACAGCCTGGTTCATTCCCTCATTGTTACGTTGGACCCGTGAAGATCCGGGGTAGAATAGGTCTACAGCAACCAAAGCTTGCAGTAAAAGGTGACTATGCTTGTCTGAAGAGGTGACTAACGGGATCGGATGGTCAGGCTCGCTGACTTGGTTGATGCATGCCATCTTATCCCAATTTGTGTGGATCGATGCTCATGATATCAATCACTGGATTGTCTGGTCAATGGACTTGATTATTAACAGCCAGCCGTCATATAGCTGTAATGTTGCTGAGTGCGGCGTTAAACCAAAAACAAACAATGGAACATCAATTTGTCTCCAACCATCATTAGGGAGCAACAGTTGATTTTCAGTGGGGGAGGTGTGGTATCGGATTTTGTTTTGTGATCAGCAATTTATTTTTATTGTTTAGGAGCTCAATTATTTATTCCAACAGAAGCAGGTTCTCCATTTTTTTCCAAATAAGTAGAAATAAGGAACTGTTTTATTTGGATACTTTTATGTAGTATGCAAGAAAAGAACACATCATATTTTTCCGGCAAAGCAATCATTTGTTTACAATGAAACAGGATTATTTTGTTAGAAAATATCCCTCTCTCCCCCCTCACCACCAACCACCCCCCCACCCCCCATCCAATCAAATAGCTGCTCCCAAAGGCAACACACTCAATGACCAGCTCAAAGAAGCCATTCTGAAATCCATTATTGAACCATTATTCATATATGCTTGCTCACTGTGCAATATGGTTTATCAAATTAAGATATTAATGATAGAGATATGGGATATTTGGTGTTGCATCAGTGTCATCTCTGTGTTAACCAGAGTAATTGAATCCATGAAATATCAAATAATGAAGAAGTCATTTGTTGGGTAAAGGAGTTGTGTGAGAATCCTGCCTCAGTTGTACTGCGTGGCTAATGTTTGTGTGATTGGGCTTGTTTGCAGAGTGAGACATGCAGTATACTGATCCCTGAGCTGGACTTTGAGACAGAGATGGGGACGCTTGGCGGCAAGTTTACCACTGTGGAGGGTCTGCTGTCTGATATACAGGGGCAGGTAATGATATGTGATACGGAGATGGGGACACTTGGTAGCAAGTTTACCACTGTGGAGGGTCTGCTGTCTGACATACAGGGGCAGGTAATGATATGTTATACGGGGATGGGGACGCTTGGCGTCAAGTTTACCACTGTGGAGGGTCTGCTGTCTGACATACAGGGGCAGGTAATGATATGTGATACGGGGATGGGGACACTTGGTAGCAAGTTTACCACTGTGGAGGGTCTGCTGTCTGACATACAGGGGCAGGTAATGATATGTGATACGGGGATGGGGACGCTTGGCGTCAAGTTTACCACTGTGGAGGGTCTGCTGTCTGACATACAGGGGCAGGTAATGATATGTGATACGGGGATGGGGACACTTGGTAGCAAGTTTACCACTGTGGAGGGTCTGCTGTCTGACATACAGGGGTAGGTAATGATATGTGATACGGGGATGGGGACACTTGGTAGCAAGTTTACCACTGTGGAGGGTCTGCTTTCTGACATACAGGGTCAGGTAATGATATGTGATACGGGGATGGGGACACTTGGTAGCAAGTTTACCACTGTGGAGGGTCTGCTGTCTGACATACAGGGGCAGGTAATGATATGTTATACGGGGATGGGGACGCTTGGCGTCAAGTTTACCACTGTGGAGGGTCTGCTGTCTGACATACAGGGGCAGGTAATGATATGTGATACGGGGATGGGGACACTTGGTAGCAAGTTTACCACTGTGGAGGGTCTGCTGTCTGACATACAGGGGCAGGTAATGATATGTGATACGGAGATGGGGACACTTGGTAGCAAGTTTACCACTGTGGAGGGTCTGCTGTCTGACATACAGGGGCAGGTATTGATATGTGATACGGAGATAGGGACATTTGGCAGCAAGTTTACTACTGTGGAGGGTCTGCTGTCTGACATACAGGGGCAGGTAATGATATGTGATACGGGGATGGGGACACTTGGTAGCAAGTTTACCACTGTGGAGGGTCTGCTGTCTGACATACAGGGGCAGGTATTGATATGTGATACGGAGATAGGGACACTTGGCAGCAAGTTTACCACTGTGGAGGGTCTGCTGTCTGACATACAGGGGTAGGTAATGATATGTGATACGGGGATGGGGACACTTGGTAGCAAGTTTACCACTGTGGAGGGTCTGCTTTCTGACATACAGGGTCAGGTAATGATATGTGATACGGGGATGGGGACACTTGGTAGCAAGTTTACCACTGTGGAGGGTCTGCTGTCTGACATACAGGGGCAGGTAATGATATGTGATACGGGGATGGGGACACTTGGTAGCAAGTTTACCACTGTGGAGGGTCTGCTGTCTGACATACAGGGGCAGGTAATGATATGTGATACGGGGATGGGGACACTTGGCGGCAAGTTTACCACTGTGGAGGGTCTGCTGTCTGATATACAGGGGCAGGTAATGATATGTGATACGGGGATGGGGACGCTTGGCGGCAAGTTTACCACTGTGGAGGGTCTGCTGTCTGACATACAGGGGCAGGTAATGATATGTGATACGGGGATGGGGACACTTGGTAGCAAGTTTACCACTGTGGAGGGTCTGCTGTCTGACATACAGGGGCAGGTAATGATATGTGATACGGGGATTGGGACACTTGGCGGCAAGTTTACCACTGTGGAGAGTCTCCTGTCTGATATACAGGGGCAGGTAATGACATGTTGTATGGAGATGGGGAAGGATTAGAAATGACCAATCTCATGCCCTTGTATTTGCAGTTGAAAGATTCCAACCCTTTCTTCCGGGGAGACAGCTCACAACCAGGGATGGTGAACAAACTCACTGAATTCTGTGGTCAATTACAAAAGGTAGGAAGACTTATCATTATTCATAATGAAATTTGACCGCCTCCGTGGTCTAGTGGATAGAGCACCTGCCTGGAGAGTGAAAGGTCGGTGGTTCAATCCTCGGCAGTGTCGTGTCAAAGGACGGTATGAGGTGGTGCTAAATGGCATTCTAGAAGTTGGTATAAATAATAAGAATGTACAACTTTGTGGATGTAACGATGCTACGATGTAGATTCTTACACTGTTGTCAAGTCAAAAAGATTGATAATCAGAATTATCATCATAGTGAAGAAATATTAACGATTTTCGATAACAAAATTGTGTCATTGATAATATAGTTTCAGTTTACCAAAGCAGACTTGTTTTTGTCCATTGCCAAAGACATAAAGCAACTGATTTTTTTATATCTTAACTGTCCAAAAAGTAACCCATGCTTATATCTGCCACCACTCCCATGTGACATGAAATTTTTTTTCACTGAGCTTTTTACATGTTTGCTTGAGGTTCTCCGATACAGTAAACTATGGTTATAACGAACTCAATGGGACCACTAATTTTATTTCGTTATGACTGTAGTTTGTTATAAGCAAATGTACATAATATACACAGCAAATGGACAGGACCAAAAAATAGTTCGTTATATCCGTCAGTTCGTTATAAGCATGTTCATTATTAACGTAGTTTACTGTATATATATATATATCGATAATTGATCGATATGTTGACAAAGTAGACACAATGTTTGGATAACAACTTCTTTAGTACTGTAAATGCAACATTGCGGTATAGATCCTTATATTGTTATCAAACAGTATTAAAGAAGTATTAAAGAAGTTGTTGTCCATAAGTTTTGTCTACTTTGTCATTGTCAACTTCTAATAATAATTGATCGATATTTTGTTAGATCTTTTATCTATATCTATAGCCTGCCCTGAGAGATTGTACACTGATTGGTCAAAACCAAGGGATTGTTACAACCCATGCAGGTCACCTGATCAGGTCATGATTGTCATGATTGTCATGCTGTCATGATTGTCATGCTGTCATGATGTCTTTATTGTCATGATTGTCATGATGTCATAATGTCATGATGTTTTATGCCACATCACTCGTTTGTCACCTCACAACTGACACGACCTGTGTAGATCCAGGTGAGAATGGGTCTTCAGCAGCCCATGCTTGTTGTTGGAAGTGACTAACATGATCGGGTTGTCAGGCTTGCTGACTTGGTATGTCATCAATCACTGGATTGTCTGGTCCAAACTCGATTATTTACAGATAGCTGTCACAAAGCTGGAATATTGCAGAGTGCAGTGTAAAACAACAAACAAACAAACATTGGTGTGTCCACTGTAACCACTGTGTTATGTTTGAGGTATTGCCATGTACTGCATAAGAAAACAACCAAACACTCACCCATGTGGTGGTTGCAGATTGTGGATGGAGAGATGATGGGGGTCCACGTGGTCCTGGACGACCCTGCCGGGAACAGCTATCTACAGGTGTGTACAGGATAACCTCAATTCATTGCTCATATAAACAAATTGCATGTGATTCCGTGGCATTTGATTAGTTGGGGGCACGGGTGGCCCAGTCGTCTAAGGCGCCGTGATTCGCTGTGCAGATTTGCATCCCTTGGGCATGCCAGAAACCAATGATTGTGGGTTCGAATCCCGGTTCGCCCCAATTATGTTTCTAGGTTTGTCAGCACCATACCCGTGCTCGTGGGTTTCACCGAAGTGGTACATGTCTGAGACCTGCATCACTTCGGGCTTTCCTCCCACATGAAGCTGACACGCCGTGATGTAACTGGAATACTGTTAAAAGTGGTGTTAAACCCAACTCACTCACTCACTCATTCTAGGTTTGTCAGCACCATACCTGTGCTAGTGGGTTTCACCAAAATGGTAAATGTTTGAGACCTGCATCACTTCTGGCTTTCCTCCCACATTAAACTGGCACGCCGTGATATAACTGGAATACTGTTAAAAGTGGTGTTAAACCCAACTCACTCACTCACTCACTCACTCAGTTTTGATTAGTTCACCTTGCAATTTTTTTTACGTTTAATGTTTCCGTAAACCCCTTTAAATGAGGCCACACCCACTAACAGACTACTAAGTCCTGATTGGCTGATAATATAATGGGTTGGGCTTGCGTTGAATATTGGGCTGAACGATGTCACCGATTTTTTATTGTCAACAGTTTTTTGTTTGTTAATGATTATATTAAGTTACCATTTTTTATGTATTTATTTATAAGTATTGACAATTTGTATTTGCATGTTTGTAGCTAAAAACATACCGGTACATTGTGTTCAAATGCAATTATATATTTCAATCTAAACGGAAGTTGTATTATTGGGTTAATATATGTCAACATAAGACATTGTTTTTACATTAAGTATGTATGGACAATCTTCCTTTCAGTATAATAACAGACATTAAGCAACATGGTGTTTATTCAAATTATTCATTTATAATATATCTTATTTGCATTTTAAGATTTATAAAATTGAAATAATGTTTTAGATGTATATAACTGTTCTAAATATATAGGCTAGACTTGGAAAGGGTTGGAGGCAAGGTTAACTTTGCTTTGTCAAAAGTAGTTAATCTCCTTTGGCCACCCAAAATTATACCAGATTTAACAACTGTCAATGGTGAACCTTAGTTTCATGCTCATGTGACTGGCCTCTCATCCAATGGAAAGCTGTATCTCGTGTAAAATTTATATTATATATTATACATATATGACAGGCTTGTTATCTGATAATCTATTTTTCAGAATGTTTATGCACCGGATCCAGACCCTGAGATGGAGGTCGTAGAGTATGAGCGTACCTTTGATCAGAAAGAGGCTCTTGGTCTCAATGACATGAAGACAGAGAACTATGAGACCACATGACATCACTTCCTGTTCACCTTCTACCTTCTCTCATGTGATAATATATGTATGATGTATCAGTTACTGGTTTAGTTTTCTGTCCTCTAAAGTTAGTGGGTGGCACAGGTGTCCCAGTCGTCTATGGCTCCACAATTTGCTGTGAAAAATTGTGTCACTAAGGTACACCACAAACATAAACCTCGGATTGGGGGTTTGAAACCCGGTTCGCCCCAATTATGTTTCTAGGTTTGTCAGCACCATACCCGTGCTCGTGGGTTTCACCGAAGTGGTACATGTCTGAGACCTGCATCACTTCGGGCTTTCCTCCCACATGAAGCTGACACGCCGTGATGTAACTGGAATACTGTTAAAAGTGGTGTTAAACCCAACTCACTCACTCACTCATTCTAGGTTTGTCAGCACCATACCTGTGCTAGTGGGTTTCACCAAAATGGTAAATGTTTGAGACCTGCATCACTTCTGGCTTTCCTCCCACATTAAACTGGCACGCCGTGATATAACTGGAATACTGTTAAAAGTGGTGTTAAACCCAACTCACTCACTCACTCACTCACTCAGTTTTGATTAGTTCACCTTGCAATTTTTTTTACGTTTAATGTTTCCGTAAACCCCTTTAAATGAGGCCACACCCACTAACAGACTACTAAGTCCTGATTGGCTGATAATATAATGGGTTGGGCTTGCGTTGAATATTGGGCTGAACGATGTCACCGATTTTTTATTGTCAACAGTTTTTTGTTTGTTAATGATTATATTAAGTTACCATTTTTTATGTATTTATTTATAAGTATTGACAATTTGTATTTGCATGTTTGTAGCTAAAAACATACCGGTACATTGTGTTCAAATGCAATTAT